TGTGGTGTGCATATTGTGGGGTGTGTAATTGTGTGGTGTGTATTGTGTGTGTTGTGTAATGTGTGGTGTGTATATTGTGTGGTGGTATATTGTCTGGGTGTGTAATTGTGTGGTGTGTAATTGTGTGGTGTATATATTGTGGTGTGTATATATGTGTGGTGTGTATATTGTGTGGTGTGTATATTGTGTGGAGTGTATATGTGTGGTGTGTATATTGTTGGTGTGTATATTGTTGTGTGTATATTGTGTGAGTGTATATTGTGTGTTGTGTGTATTGTGTGGTGTGTATATTGTGTGGTGTATATATTGTGTGGTGTGTATATTGTGTGATGTGTATATTGTTGTGGTGTGTATATTGTGTGGTAGTGTATTGTGTGGTGTGTGTATTGTGGGTGTGTATATGTGAGTGTGTGTATATTGTGTGGTGTGTGTATTGTGTGTGTGTGTATTTGTGGTGTTATAAATGTGAGTTGTATATTTTGTGTTGTGTATATGTGTGGTGTGACTATTGTGTTGTGTAAATTGTTGGTGTGAATATATGTGTGTTGTAGTATTGTGTGATGTAATTAGTGATGTATGATAGATGCACAATGAGTAGTGTGTAATATAAGTATGGAGTATATACTGTGGAGTTTAACAATATAGTTGTATGTTTATACATGATATGGTGTAGCAAATATTAGTTAGATCAAAGAGATTAAATGTGTGATTGTACATATTGTGATGAGTATATGCAATGTAAGATTAGTGTAAAGTATATATAATGTGGTGATTACAATGTGTGGTAGATAACATAATTGTGAGTGTGTTACACATATGATTGTATACAATATAGTATATGACATTATATTTACACAATGTGTTAGTGAACATATGAGTGTAGTAACAATATATTGAGGATACATATATTATTGACACAATTTGTGTAGTACACAATATGATGGTATATACAATATTGATATACAAGATGTAGTATAGCAATTATTTGAGTGAGTACATAGTATTTGATTTTGAATATATGTTGTATAATAATTGTAGTATCATATATTATATATTATATTGTGTGGTAATATATTATAATTGTATTATATCTGTATGGTAAAATATAGTGGTATATATATATAGTGTATATAACAATGTGTTGTAGATTGTAATTATTATATAATTTGTGGTGTGTAAAAATATATTATAACATTTTTAATATTATGGTTATTGTGATGTGTAAGTATATTTAAGTTGTAAATATATTATACATAAAGATTATGACAATTTATTGTTCAATTATATTAATACTTTTATTATATTACAATATATTATGTATACAAGATATATATACACAATAAATTATATATACAATATATTTTATCAATTATAGTATATAAATTATTAATTTTTTTTTTGGGTTTAAAAAATTTTAAAAAAAATTTTTGGGGAAAAAGGGGTTTAAAATTTTGGGGGGTTTTAATTGGGGGGGAAAGTGTTTTTGAAAGGGGGGGGATAGGGGGGGGGGTTTTTTTTTTTTAAGGGGGAATTTTGGGGTATTTTTTGAAATTTTTTTAAAAGGGGGTTTTTTTTGGGGGTTTTTAAAAAATTTTTTGTAAAATGGTTTGGGGTGTTTTTTTGAAGAATTTTTATTTTTTTAATTTTTATTTTTAATTTTATGCCATTATTTTGTATTGAATAAATTCATTTTTTTTACAATATTTAAATTAAAAAATTTTTTTTCATTTTAAACTTTTAAATATAAAGTTTTTTATACCCTTTTTGAATTTTGGGGGCAGGGGGTTTTTTTTAATTTATACCAAAATAGGTTTCAGGAAATTTTAAAAATTAATTAAAATTTTATAAAATTTTAAAAAAAATTAAAATTTTTTTGGGGGGGGGAAAAATTTTTTTAATTTATAAAAAAAAAAAATAATAATGTATAATAATAATATAATAATAATAATAATAATAATAATAATAAATAATAATAATAATATAATAATAATAATAATAATATAATAATAATCATTAATAACTGTCCTCTTATAACTCTTACGAGTTTAATGCTCCGATACAAAAAATTAAACTCATTTTTGACCAACAAAAAAGACTTGACTTAAAGTGTATAAGGTCCTAGGAATCAACCAAAGTTCTATGGGACTTGTGTCTTTGATGTTGACTTTGATCTTGGTAGCTGGGAGGCCTAGACTTGGAGGTAGCATGATCTTGGTAGCTGGGAGGCCTGGTCTTGGTGGGAGCAGCAATGGTGTTCACACTACCCAAAACCCTTTAGTATTATAATGTTTTAAAACACATTTCTTATTACCCAGAATTTGTGGTTTTCCATGTTGTTGTGCATTCTGGACTGGTGGTTTTACTTGGGTTTTTGCATCATCAAGGAATATTTGCTTGTCTGCTGGCATAACTACTATTTTCTGTGGGGTCTCACCTCTTGGACCAGTCAACACATGGCCGTTCAGCATCAGTGCTCGTCTTTCGTAATCCTTATTTTTAAAAATTGCAAAGCCATACCCACGATGACCTCTGAGTCTTCGTGGCATCATGAATTTGATTAAACCGCCGGATTTTTTCAGAAGCTGTTTTACAGTCCGGTACCTACACAAAGTGGGTACCTTGGCCACAAAAACTCCATACCCTGTAGGGTTGGGGATGGTGGGTTTGGGGATGGTTATGGGTTTGGGGATTGTGATGGGTTTGGGGATGGTGATGGGGATGGGAAGGGTATTGGGGTTGGGGAGGGGTGTTGAGCTACCAGCATCATCAGTGGTAGCAGGTACTAGCTCACCAATCACCACTGTGTCACTGGTGCTGGTATGTGTAAGTGGCTTGAGAAGTCTGGTACGGAAGAATCGCCAGGTGTAGTACAAAACTCCTAACACTGTCACAACGACCCAGAGATGAACCAGCATCACTTGGGAGGATGAATTATTCTGGCAGGATTCTTTCATCTCCTTGAGGAGAATCTCCAGCTCCTCAACATCTTTGCTGGCTTGGTACAATTTAAAGATGATTCCCAGAAGAGGCCAGGAGTTTGGTGCCCACCAAGTGCTCGCCAGCCTTCCAGGGAGATGTAAGGGGGTATAATTATCACAATTAAATATTATCCCCATCCCAGGGATCCTACAAATTCTCTGGAAAAATGATTCACAAGCCCAGGAGGCTTCCTGGATCTCCATCTGGAGTCGCATCCGGTCCTCTTCCAGCTCCTGGGCCCACTCATCAAAATAACAATATAGCCCAACAAAAATGGTGATAACGTCCAACACCACGACGAGATACATCAATTTCCTGTAGATTTCCATATTTAGATATTTCTTCTCTAGTGGAAGCTAGGAAAGAAGAGAATAATAATTTATAATATCTCCAGCCACAATAATGTTCAAAATATAATATATGAGAAATATAGTTAACCTCGAATTTTGTTGTTCTGCCCTTGTGTATAGTGATGGTGATATATGTGATGAATAGTGATAGTGAAATGTATAATGATGGAGAGATGTTGTGAATAGTGATGGTGACATGTGGTGAATAGTGATGGTGATGTAGTGAATAGTGATAGTGATATATGTGATGAATAGTGATAGTGAAAGATGTATAATGATGGAGAGATGTTGTGAATAGTGATGGTGACATGTGGTGAATAGTGATGGTGATGTAGTGAATAGTGATAGTGATATATGTGATGAATAGTGATAGTGAAAGATGTATAATGATGGTGAGAGATGTTGTGAATAGTGATGGTGACATGTGGTGAATAGTGATGGTGATGTAGTGAATAGTGATAGTGATATATGTGATGAATAGTGATAGTGAAAGATGTATAATGATGGTGAGAGATGTTGTGAATAGTGATGGTGACCTTGTACCTAGTTCAGCCATCAAAACTTTGGGGCCCAGTCCCTGGACCCATTATGTACCTCTGTAATCTGTAAATACCTTTGTAACTTGTCATGATTGTGACTAGACCTACCTGGAGTTCATTACCTTTGTAAATTGTGAGTTCATTACCTTTGTAAATTGTGAATTCATTACCTCTGTAACTTGCTCAGTTATCAAAACTTTGAGGCCCAGTCCCTGGACCCATTATGTACCTCTGTAATCTTTTGACTACCGCCCACAGGATGGGTATGGGGTGCATAATAAACATATTAAACTAACTAACTTTGAGGCCAACAGAGTATTTTATGCCCTTGAGGCCAACAGAGTATTTTATGCCCTTGAGGCCAACAGAGTATTTTATCCTTTTGAAGCCAACAGAGTATTTTATGCCCTTACCTGGAGGGTGTTCCGGGGGTCACCGCCCCTGCGGTCCGGTCCATGACCAGACCTCGTAGTGGATCAGGGTCTGATCAACCAGGCTGTTACTGCTGGTCGCACGTAAACCAACGTACGAACCACAACCTGGCTAGTCAGGTACTGACTTCAGGTGCCTGTCCAGCTCCCTCTTGAAGACGCCTTGAGTCTATTGGTAATCCCCCTTATGTATGCTGGGAGACAGTTGAACAGTATGGGACCCATTACAGTGTTGTATCTTAGTATACTCATGGCATCCCTGCTCTTCATTAAGGGGAATGTTGGACCGCCTGCAGAGTCTTGCTTTCGTAGGGAGTAATTTCTGTGTGCAAATTTGGAACTATTCTCTCTAGGTCTAGGATTTTCCAAGTGTGTATTATCATGTATCTCGCCTTGGTTTTTTTTTTTGTAATTTTATCTTATATATTTTATTTTATGTTCACTATACTTTTGTGCCTTAATTGTCTGAAAGCTTCGTGTAACCATCAATATATTTCTTATCTTAATCTTGATACAATAGTTTAAATAAATAATACACTTAATAATTGGTATGATAACGACCTTCACTTACCGAGCTGGCGGGCGTACAAGTACTACATTATCTATATACACATTTATATACATAGATATATTTTATATATGCATCTTACGTATATAAATTCACGATTGCAATAAACACATTAAAAAAAATCAGTGCCTGAGGAAATACATATTAAAAATAAGTTAGTGGTATAACTTGTGTTGAGTGACCCTGAAGACTGGGTAGACATGACTGTGGAAATGACTTAAAACCTCAAATGAACATGACTCGTGAAGTCAGTGATATTGCAGTGACTGAGGGACACCACCTGTGATGACTCTACTGCTGGACAAACTCAAGGTTCTTCCTGACTATAATGTCGAGGAAATACTCAAAGAGGAGTTTCCTAGATGTGAAGGTCAGTTTTATTTCAGGTGTAAGTTTATTTAGGCACAGGTACACATGTGTACAATTAACATATATATAGTTTAAATTACCAAGGCTAACCTAAAAAAGTCAAAGTGACTTATTTCCATTGAGTCCTTGTAATATCTTATTATTTAAAACAGCTAGTCCAATCTTCTGGTACTAACGTCAGTGAAGGGCTCTTGATTCAGAGAATTTGAGCAATCTTTTCTTTTACCTGCATCTGAATAAACTAACTTATATTACAAGCTGACAGACAGGATCTGTATACTCAGACCCCTCAAGGAAGGTTCCTTGATGTTGGTGAGGGGCTCTTGATTTAGGGAATTGGATCTGTGCTCCAGTTCCCCGAATTAAGCCTGAATGCCTTCCACATCCCCCCCCAGGCGCTGTATAATCCTCCGGGTTTAGCGCTTCCCCTTGATTATAATAATAATGTATACTCAGAGGTGTATGTCTCTGCATACTTGCTGAGAGTTTACTTTTATCCTGGTTTTAAGGGGGGGGGGAGTTATCTTTGGTAATTTACACATGTTACTTATACTATGTTAATTGTACTGCCCCGTGACCTGGTGGCTGAAGCTCTCGCTGCAGACGGCGAGGGTCCGGGTTCGATTCCCAGCAATGGTGGAAACATTGGTCGTGTTTCTTTACACCAGTTGTCTGTGTTCCCCATCAGTAAAATAGATACCTGGGAGTTAGTCGACTGGTGTAGTTTGCATCCTGGGACAAAAATTGACCTAATTTGCCCAAAATGTTCTGCATAACAAGCAGCTTTCTATGTAGTAGTATGTCACTGATGTCAGCTAGGCCTGTATGTATACCTTGTACATGTACTTGTACAAATAAAGATATTATTATTATTACTATTATGTACACCTGTAACTGAATATTCTTACTTACTAGATAGGCTTTCAACACACAGATAACCCACATATAGGAGAGAGGAGCTACGATGATATTTCGGTCCAACTTGGACCATTTACAAAGTCACACTGCGGGTTATTTGTGTATTGTTCCAGTCAGGGTATTGTGCCTTTTTGTTATATATTTAGACTTTCAACCCAATTAACCAACCATTGTAGGCTCAGAAAGACTACAGAGTATTCTGTACCATGTTTTGGCTGAACTGCTGAGATTTCTTTAAAGATTAAGTTAAATTTGTACAGTGTTAACATTTGTACATTGCAAAAAAAAAAAAGTTCCCATATATGGTTTACATTTTGACGTGGGCACACTGGCATGTGATGAAAGACCCATTGATACTGGAGCTTATTCCCATAACCATCCACAAAAAATGGACTATATATGAATGCCAAAGTCATGATTATAAAGTACAGTAGTACTAGGTATTTTACATTTCTGAGTGTTCCTTTCACTTTAAACCTTTCCCATACACAGCTTTGTTTAAAATTAATGTTTATGTGTACAGTACTACTATATAAAATTAATTCCAGAGTCTATGACAGCACTGTATTACTGTCACTGTTAGTAAAATACAGTAGTACTATATACCATGCATCTTGCCTGATTTTTACACTCCACCAATTTTCCTCTGTCCCTCTCACAATATTTTTACCTGCTACTACTTTAATAACAGAGTGCGTTCTCTACAGGAGAGTTAGTTTTTCTTTTAGGCACAGGTACACATAAGTACAAGTATCATACATAGTGTAAATTACCTAGGGTAACCCCCCAAAAAGTCAGTGACTTATTTCCATTACGGTCCCTTTAAGTTTATTTAGGTACAGGTACACATTTATCATGCATAGTAACATATGTGTAAATTACCTACAATAACCCAAAAAAGTCAAAGTAACTTTTAACATGCTTTGTATTTGTAGTTTTATTGTGATTTTTTTTTTATCAGGCCATTGTTACCTTGATCATGCAGCTGCAGCATTATACAGCAACAGCCAAATAAAAAAAGTATCAGATGAGCTTCAGTCATCGCTGTTTGGTAATCCCCACTCTCGCCACTTCCCTAGTGACTCCTCTACACAGATAATAGAGTCTGTCCGCCAAAGGTGAGGAGGATATTGATTTGGTCGTAACATTTTTGATAAACGCATATTTCAGTGAACTGTATTAATTTATGAATAAAAATATTATCTAGTTAAAAGGGGAGGGATATGCTTGTGCTATCTTCTCTTTGGTAATTTTTTCATCGTATATTAGTAATTTGTTAATATTTCCATTGGTTGTAGCCTTAGTACTGTCTCTCTCACTTTATTCCATTCTTCACAAAGAAAAAATTCCCAGTATCCCTTCAGCTTCATTTTAGTACTAGTAGACTGCAGTTCCCTTTGAGAAGTAAAATTGTATGCTATATCCTTATACTTTCTGAATTTGGTGTTTAGGGAAGCAATTGTTAAACCGGTATTCCTGGAGTAAGAGATTTTAAATAATTAAAGTAGCTTCTTAAAGAGTGATTCTCTCCTTCCTCTATACTCCAAGTATAGGTATACAACTATGATTCTCTATATTTTCTAACATCCTTTCTCCTTAAACTGGAGATGTCATAATAAATGGCAGTTAGTTAATAAGCTGAATGGTTGAAGTCTTGGGCTTGGTACATACAGTACATGGACCACCATTTAATTCACTGTCCAGCATTTTGTCTATTCATTTTTTCCTTATTTGCATAGTGATCTGTTTATTAATTTAGATTTTTTTCTTTGCAGAATCTTAGAGCATTTCAATACGACACCAAATGAATATGATTTGATCTTTACCTCTGGTGCTACTGAAGCAATGAAGATTGTTGCAGACAGTTTTCAGTGGAACAGTAGTTCAGAAATATTGCACAGAAGGAGCAATGGTGCTGTGTCAGAAGAAAAAGCAGTTAAAAAAAATAGCCAGAAAGCCCAGGATATCGAAGACATGCAGCATGAATGGAAGAGTTTGAGGGAGACCGAAATGACAGAGGCACATTGTGGGGCATTTGTATATGCAAGAGAGAACCACACCTCAGTGCTTGGTATGAGAGGCTTGGCCCACTGGGCAGGTGCTAGTGTATACTCTCTCCAAATCAAAGAGCTACACAATATATTTGAAGAAAAATCTTGTACTGTTTTGAAAGATTCCAATTTTGACATGGATACTTTTGGCTGTGCAAATGCTAAAGAAAAGATATCCCAAGGCAATTCTCATCAGAGAGGTGTTACAAGAACAAATTCAGAGATGTGTTCTGGAAGAAAAAACTGTCTCTTTGCCTACAGTGCTCAATGTAACTTTTCAGGAACAAAGGCACCTTTGGAGTGGATTGAGAAGGTTCATAAAGGAGCTTTGAACAGGCTATTAAAAACCTCTCCAATAAATAAAGATGCAAGGACAGGTACGTTACTCTTGGAAAGTTAGTATTATACATACATACTTGTTGGATTTCTCACACTCAAATCTGTTTTCTTTCTACTATTTCTTTCTTATAAATGTCAGTGTAAACCAGTTTAATCATATTTGAGGAGATTGAGTGTGATCATATAGGAATGAATTTGTATCACATACAATGTAGCAAAATACTGGTAGAAACTGGGTGACTGCATATAAGAAAATTCACAAAGTGAAATTACATGAAGTGAGGGAAACATTATTCTGTACTTACCATATAATGAACTAAACTTTGAGACATTGTTGAACTTCTGTCTGTTTTGGCAGTCATTCAGCCCTTGATGCTTCAAATAATGTGTTTCTTGTTGATTCAAATATTCCTTTCACACTTCCTTCTGTTCACACTTAGTATATTCCATTTTTCAGTGGATTACTGCTAATGCATAAACTATTAAGCGGAAAACATCTTATTCTCGTGAATGCTGTGCAATGTCAAAATAAAAATGGTTCATTACCCACCCATCCCTCTTACTCAGGTGCTGTCCCAAATATAATCACCTTTGAGTTCTACCAGTTGTATCCAGGAAATATTAATAGGATGCACCCCTGAGTATGAGCAAACAATAATTAGTAGCAAGTATGTGTTGGAGTGTGAGCAGGGTAATATTTAGTGAAGGGATTCAGGTAAACTGGTTATTTTTTATATAGCCAGACTTGAGTACTGGAAATGGGAAGTACAATGCCTGCATTTTAAAGGTTTCGGATATTGGCAGTTTGGAGGGGTATGTTATATATCTGTATATATGCTTCTAAACTGTTGTATCTGGGTGCCTCTGCAAAGACAGTGATTATGTGTGAGTGAGGTGAAAGTGTTGACTGATGATGAAAGTATTTTCTTTTTGGGGATTTTCTTTCTTTATGGGTCACCCTGCCTCGGTGAGAAATGGCCGACTTGTTGGAAAAAAAAAAATGTGGCTTATCAGTTTTGAATATTGAAACTGTTTGTAAAATTCATTTTCATTAGGAACCTTGTTTAGATGTACATGTATATCCTTTTATTTTCTACATCATCTATTTAACAGTATTTTTCATATTTCACTTTTTCTCTCCTCAGAATTTAAAAATGATCCACACTGGTATGTACTGCTGGATGCTGCTAGTTTAGTAGCAACCTGCCACCTTGATCTCTCCATGTGGAAACCAGACTTCATCCCTGTATCCTTCTACAAAATTTTTGGATACCCGACTGGATTAGGCAAGGCGTTTTTTATTATGCCTGTATTCCTTTGTGATTTGGGATACTATTGACAGTTTGGAGGGACTTCTAAACTGTCGTATCTGCGTGCCTCTGCAAAGACAGTGATTATGTGTGAGTGAGGTGAAAGTGTTGAATGATGATGAAAGTATTTTCTTTTTTGGGGATTTTCTTTCTTTCTGGGTCACCCTGCCTCGGTGGGAGAGGGCTGACTTGTTGAAAAAAAAAAGTACATTTAATTTATTACTATATTTGTACATAGTTTTATATACTACATTAAGACTGAATAATATTTACTATGCAGCATATGTAGTAATATGTATGTAATACTCCTCAGGATGCTTGATGGTGAGAAAACGAGCATGGGAGGTGTTGAAAAAGCAATATTTTGGTGGGGGCACTGTGCTTATGGTGGACTCCAGGGAAATGCAACTTGTCCCACGACCATCACTTCATGACAGGTACTGTATTGGATTTGTTTTTAATTTATTTCAAGCCTGATTTTGCTAGTTTTTGTTTACCCTTTCAGTGGTGTCGAGAAAAGTTTAACTTCAGAGAGACTTATAACGTAAAAATGATATATGGAGAGACATTGGGAGGTAAAACAACAAGTCAAGGGAGACTAAAGCTAGCCAATGAGAGAATGGGCAAGGCAACATCAGTAAATTTTTGCTGAATATAAGAAACAGTTTTGGGAACAAATTGATAAGTTGAGAATGCCTGTGAAAGCAATGGACTTGGTACTTCAGAATGAAAGAGGGAAAATGTTAGATATGGGAGGGATGATACCAGAGAGATGAAGGAAATATTTTGAGTTGTTCACTGCTGATGAGAGAGAGAGAGAGAGAGAGAGAGAGAGGGGGGGGGAGGTTGTGATATATATTGGGCTGGGAGGAATTATGTGGTAAGAATAAGGAATAGCCAGAGGTGAATTTTGTGGCTAGAGTCTCATATTGCAGCTGCAAGTGCAGTTACAGGTGTAGGGGCTAGTACAAGTGCAGGTGCTTCTAAAATTGTGGGCACAGTGTATGTATTGATAGGCTTCAAGCTTTGTATTGATGATCTTTGTTAAAAGAAAGATTGGACTTCACTTTGAGCTGTGTAAATTAAAATTCAACAGTTATTATTAATATTGTTTACATGACTTAGATAGGGAAGCTGTGATTTCGTGTATAGGGCAAGGAGGAATAACATCTTGTAGGAGTGAGGAAGAGCCAGTTGTGAGTGTGGGGGAAGTTCGTGAGGCAGTAGGTAAAATGAAAGGGGGTAGGCAGCCGGGATTGATGGAATAAAGATAAAAATGTTAAAAGCAGGTGGGGATATAGTTTTGGAGTGGTTGGTGTAATTATTTAATAAATGTATGGAAGAGGGTAAGGTACCTAGGGATTGGCAGAGAGCATGCATAGTTCCTTTGTATAAAGGCAAAGGGGACAAAAGAGAGTGCAAAAATTATAGGGGGATAAGTCTGTTGGAAAGAGGGGGTAAAGGAGGTTTTGTGGGCGAGGGGCTTGGACTTCCAGCAAGCGTGCATGAGCGTGTTAGATAGGAGTGAATGGAGACGAATGATTCAGGGAAACCGGTTATTTTCTTATAGTCGGACTTGAGTCCTGGAAATGGGAAGTACAGTGCCTGCACTTTAAAGGAGGGGTTTGGGATATTGGCAGTTTGGAGGGATATGTTGTGTATCTTTATACGTATATGCTTCTAAACTGTTGCATTCTGAACACCTCTGCAAAAGCAGTGATAATGTGTGAGTGTGGTGAAAGTGTTGAATGATGATGAAAGTATTTTCTTTTTGGGGATTTTCTTTCTTTTTTGGGTCACCCTGCCTCAGTGGGAGACGACCAACTTGTTGAAAAAAAAAAAAAAAAAAAAAAGTCTGTTGAGTATACCTGGTAAAGTGTATGGTAGAGTTATTATTGAAAGAATTAAGAGTAAGACGGAGAATAGGATAGCAGATGAACAAGGAGGCTTTAGGAAAGGTAGGGGGTGTGTGGACCAGGTGTTTACAGTGAAACATATAAGTGAACAGTATTTAGATAAGGCTAAAGAGGTCTTTGTGGCATTTATGGATTTGGAAAAGGCATATGACAGGGTGGATAGGGGGGCAATGTGGCAGATGTTGCAGGTGTATGGTGTAGGAGGTAGGTTACTGAAAGCAGTGAAGAGTTTTTACGAGGATAGTGAGGCTCAAGTTAGAGTATGTAGGAAAGAGGGAAATTTTTTTCCCAGTAAAAGTAGGCCTTAGACAAGGATGTGTGATGTCACCATGGTTGTTTAATATATTTATAGATGGGGTTGTAAGAGAAGTAAATGCGAGGGTCTTGGCAAGAGGCGTGGAGTTAAAAGATAAAGAATCACACATAAAGTGGGAGTTGTCACAGTTGCTCTTTGCTGATGACACTGTGCTCTTGGGAGATTCTGAAGAGAAGTTGCAGAGATTGGTGGATGAAATTGGTAGGGTGTGCAAAAGAAGAAAATTAAAAGTGAAGTGAATACAGGAAAGAGTAAGGTTATGAGGATAACAAAAAGATTAGGTGATGAAAGATTGGATATCAGATTGGAAGGAGAGAGTATGGAGGAGGTGAATGTATTCAGATATATGGGAGTGGACGTGTCAGCGGATGGGTCTATGAAAGATGAGGTGAATCATAGAATTGATGAGGGGAAAAGGGTGAGTGGTGCACTTATGAGTCTGTGGAGACAAAGAACTTTGTCCTTGGAGGCAAAGAGGGGAATGTATGAGTATAGTTTTACCAACGCTCTTATATGGGTGTGAAGCATGGGTGATGAATGTTGCAGCGAGGAGAAGGCTGGAGGCAGTGGAGATGTCATGTCTGAGGGCAATGTGTGGTGTGAATATAATGCAGAGAATTCGTAGTTTGGAAGTTAGGAGGAGGTGCGGGATTACCAAAACTGTTGTCCAAGGGCTGAGGAAGGTTGTTGAGGTGGTTCGGACATGTAGAGAGAATGGAGCGAAATAGAGTGACTTCAAGAGTGTATCAGTCTGTAGTGGAAGGAAGGTGGGGTAGGGGTTGGCCTAGGAAAGGTTGGAGGGAGGGGGTAAAGGAGGTTTTGTGTGCGAGGGGCTTGGACCAGCAGGCATGCGTGAGCGTGTTTGATAGGAGTGAATGGAGACAAATGGTTTTTAATACTTGACGTGCTGTTGGAGTGTGAGCAAAGTAACATTTATGAAGGGGTTCAGGGAAACTGGCAGGCCGGACTTGAGTCCTGGAGATGGGAAGTACAGTGCCTGCACTCTGAAGGAGGGGTGTTAATGTTGCAGTTTAAAAACTGTAGTGTAAAGCACCCTTCTGGCAAGACAGTAATGAGTGAATGATGGTGAAAGTTTTTCTTTTTCGGGCCACCCTGCCTTGGTGGGAATCGGCCAGTGTGATAATAAAAAAAAAAATAATACATGACTTATTTTTTTTATTTTTATGAATTTTCCCTAAAGCTTTAGTTTCATAATTTATTAATGTTACTTTATTATTTTTATTATTAGTTAACACTCTGGTCATCTCCCACCGAGGTAGGGCGGCAAATGTCTGAACCTGAAAAGATGATACAGTGCCTGGGAAATAAGAGGCAATGAGATTTAACCCTTTCTTGGTCGGCAGGCCCTCTCCTAAACTTGTTCTCAGGGTTGGAAATTTTTCAAAAAAAGAAAAAAAATTTTTGTTTTTTCATGTGAAATGATAGAGAATCTTTTCCCGGTCATAATGACACCAAAATTTTGAAATTTGTTGGAAAACTTACGGAATTATACTTTCGCGAAATTAGCAGTCTCGACGATGTTTACACATCGGCGATTTCACCCACTTTGAGCCCTATTTTTGGCCAATTCCAACATACCAGTTGAGAAAAATCATAACTATTTTGCTAGAATTCCATTTTTTTCTATCGAATGAGTACAAGAAACAACCCGTTTACTGATTTCAACTATCCAATAAAATGGTCAGAAATTTGTCAATTTTGCCAATTTCACACAAATTTCCAAAGATGCCAATTTTCAAATAGGGTCCAGAATAAACAAGACAGACATTCCTTGCACTAAAATAACATTTTTCTATTCATTAGTCATGTCCCAAGACCTCTCTTACATTTCTTTTGCTTTCCACTTTGAATTTTTATTCTCACAAAAAAATGGAAGATTTACTGTTATGCAGACTACTGCATTAGTGTAGAAATGGTATAAATAATATCAGCGCACTTGTGAAAGAATATTAGACTCACCAGTTGAAGTGTATTGGATGCATGGCATGATTTGTTTACTTTTGAACTTTGGCAAAACTCGAACATTTCTGCTACTTTGAGCTCAATTTCAAGGTACTTTTCATCGTGAAACCAATCAAAATCATCTCAATTTCCGTAATATGTCTTCCATTCTATAAAATGAGACCAGGAAAACTAGAATACAACCATAAATAGCATGTGAAAATACACTGCAAAGTCGCTGTTTTAAAGCAAAAACATGGTCGGAGTTTTTTTTTTCACATAATGCACTGTGTGCTGCAGGATTTTTTTTATACTGTGCACACTGACCACATAGACTCATTCTTTCATATGTAGGCCTACCAGCTTTCTCTTTCTAGATTTGAAGGCGCTAGAATTTATGCGTACTACTACGGCACCAACCCTGGCGTGCAAGCCGTACTAGTATGGCAGCAACTCTGAAAGGGCTAATCTAAGGAAGGGGAAGGTAGCTTCAGTTCCTTGCTTCCCATTCCACAGGTTCTGTATGGGGGCTGGGAGATACTCAGATTTAAATTGATTTTCAAAAGAATTTGTAATTTTTTTTATAAACAATTACATATTCTTGTATGTATACTGTACATTGTTAGCATCAGTCATCCTATTTTTTCATGTCTAACTTGAAAATCCTCAAACTTTTTTTTTTTTTTTTTTTGTATATGTATTACCTAGTTTGTTTCTGAATATTAGTCTAATTTTCTTTGCACTGTTTCTACTGTATCAGCTTACTTTCATCTTTTTGTTCCTTTTGTAATTTATGTAATTTATTCCATTTTTAATTATTGTAGATTTGAAGATGGAACACTTCCTTATCTGAGTATTGTAGCTATCAGGCATGGTCTTGACACCATCATGAAACTTACAGGTATGGTACTTGCTTGGTTATTTTCTCATCTGATTATCAATGTACATACAGTAACTTCATTTATTCAGAGCCAATAGGAAGAGTACAAATACACAAAAAATAAGAGCAAGTCCAAAATGTTTTTTTAGCATGGTACAATATATTATCATGTATCATTGTACTGGTTATAAACATCATATATTTTGTAAAATTTGGCTTTGAGTTTATCCTTCATTTTTTTTTTTTTTTTTTTTTTTTTTTTTTTTTTTTAGTAACATTTACTGTACTGCTCAATATGGAATCCCTTTGGGGATTTGTTGTAATTATCTTCATATTATTGGCTCTGCACTTGACTTGCCTGTTTTCTACAGTTTTTTAAATTTAACCTGTCATATTTTTACAATTGTCTGTCATGCCTCTGTCTGTCTGTCTCTCTGTACCTGTGTCTGTCTGTCTCTGTTTCTCTTGCTCTCTTCTGTCTTGTATCACTCTGCCACTTCTCTTTACATCTCCTGATATTTATACCACTGTACTACTTTATATCTCCTTATCACAGCTCTCTGTTGCTCCTCTAAGTCCAGCAATCTGCTTGATTTTCCTATTACCTCTTGCAATACTTGATTGCTCAACTAGTCTAGAAGAAAAATATCTTGGTAGTAGTTCTTATAAAGCAGCAGTATTATGGAATTTATGCAATCTTCTGTCCGATGTACCGGTGCACTTCTGCCTTTACTTAAAGATTGAATGTAATATTTTGCACTGAGAGTGTATATGTATGTACTTCATCATGTTGCTCTGTTTACTCAGTACCTGCATTGGCATCATGAAAAATTATTAACATACTAGCAAAATAACCACAGCAGTATTTTAACAAGAAATAAGGTCATGTAGTGCCTTATTTTCAATGTTCTTAGGTCCTCTCCCCAGGATGTGACCCACAACAGTTGACTAGTTTTCTAGTATCTGCTGTTAGATGAACAGGGGTAGAAGATGTAAGGAAAGTTGCCCATGTGTTTCACATTTCCTGGGAATTTAGCCCAGGACTTTTGAATTGTAAATTAAGTGTTCTTAGGCTCAGTATAAAAATATTCCACTAGAAATGTCATAAACAGAATTGCCTAGTGTATACATCATCTGACGAAGTGCTTTAACCTTTTGAGGGTCGAGACACCTGATCCTTAACTCACACTCAGGGTCGAAAAATATTCGAAAAAAAAAAAAAATTCTTACCAAAATCTTATGAATAATTTTGTGAGAGATATAGGATAAAACAATTTTTTTGCGATCAATACTTACCAAGGTATAGAGGTGTGAAGTTGACAGAAAGTGAACCACTTACGGCACCGTCACTGGCGATCACTTGGTAATATTATACAGTGGAACCTCAAATTTCGAACTTAATCCATTCCAGGAGCTAGTTTGAAAAGAAAAGTTTGAAAGGCGAAGCAATATTTCCCATAAGAAATAATGAAAATACAATTAATCCGTTCCAGAAACCCAAAAATATTCACAAAAAAATACATTTTATAGATAGTATTACATTATAGTTATACATACACACAACAGATATAGTGTACAATTATTAATAAATTTAAATAAATATATAAAATAACGTTTTTGCTTACCTTTATTGAAGATTGGTGATGGCATCTGGAAGATAGGGAGGAGGAGAGAGGGAGTTGGGGTTAGTGTTTGGAAGGGGAATCCCCCTCCTGGGATTACTTCCCTTCTCTGTCTTTTAATGCCACTAGGACCAGCTTGAGAGTCACTGGACCCCTGTCTCACAAAATGACTGTCCACAGTCCTCTGTTTCTGGTGCCTCATTAAGATTTCCCTAAAATAGGACATGGTTCTGTTACTGAACTTGTTGCAAAGATGGCTTGTTTCAGTTTGCTCAGGGTGGTACTTCTCCACAAACATTTGGACATCATTCCACTTGGTGCAAATCCCCTTAATCTTTAACCCCTAAACTGTCCAAACGTAGATCTACGTTTTTTCAACATTTGAAAGTAGTATGTAAAAAAAGTAGATCTTTTTTTTTTTTTTTTTTACATTTGAAAACGTGTAAAAGACTTTGATCTACTTTTTTTTTTTTTTTTGAAAGCATATAAAAAAAATAGATCTACTTTTGGAGCACTACACATTTGAACGTAGATCTGCTTGGACAGTTTAAGGGTTAAATCAGCATGCAACTTCCTCGCCTTTTCACAGATAATTGAGTTTGATAATAGGGGCAAGTTTGACAATAAGGACAAAGTTGGTTCGAAAAAAGCGGTCGATTTTTGAAGAGTTCGATAAGTGATACGTTCGTAATTTGAGGTTCCACTGTATTTTCTTTTTTCTACTTATTTTATTTTTTAACATTTTATTTTTTCAAGTAACTTTTATGGTCTGTGAGACCAATATAAGGTATATTGTATGTATATTCACTCGTTGTATGCTACACAATAGCCGCACAAACACTATTGTCATTATATTGTTTAAAACATGTTTACACAAACCAACAATAAAAAATGTTGTTTATTACTATTTTTCTATAATATATACTATACAATGCCTGCACTCTAAAGGAGGGGTTCGGGATATTGGCAGTTTGGAAGGATATGTTATGTATCTTTATAGGTATATGCTTCTAAGCTGTTGTGTTCTGAGCACCTCTTCAAAAACAGTGATTGTGTGAGTGAGGTGAAAGTGTTGAACGATGATGAAAGTATTTTCTTTTTGGGGATTTTCTTTCTTTTTTGGGTCACCCTGCCTCGGTGGGAGACGGCCGACGTTTAAAAAAAAAATATATATATATACTGAGTTACTTGGACATGTTCCTAGAAGTGCTGCAGCTTGTGGAACTGTGAAACATGGTGTCATGCACAGCGGTGTTTTACACTCCTTACACATAAAACAAGTGTGTCTGCGTTTTTGTGGGCATTTTCTTTTTTTTGTATGTGAACAGACATAATTCCTCTTCTGAGCGGTTTTCTTTGTAGTAAAGGGCAGTTGTATTAGGTAGTGATCACCAGGTCTCAGACGAGAGGGTAGTTGTTGATCAGTTCGTAGGCGGTTTTTTATTACAGGTGTTGTTACTTGGTACTTGAATAATATATGTCTGATGACAGACAAACAAAATTGGTGGTTTGTTTCTGGTCTTCAACTTGTACATATTATAAGCATTGAGCATGGAAATGTCCAAAAGACAGAAAGAATTTTATGTACCACTTATAACTCTTGCGAACACAATCAGCTAACCCAGTTTGCATGTCACATTTGTCCACTGAATGCATATTGAGGGTGTTAGGTTAGGTAAGGTTCATCAGGAAACAGGACAAGTGTTTCCTGACACGGGTCTTGGTCAGATGATGACCTGCCTTGGGAGCTTTTGGTCATCTGACCGAGGCCTGCTGGTTTACCGGTCCACCCCTTTAAAAATTATGGTCATTTATAAGCATTGTTATTACTAATATTGAGGGTGTAGTCCATTACAGCTTTGGATTTTAGAATGGGTTCATTGGTCTCTCTATTCTGCCTGCCACTGTGTGTCATTTCGTTTCGGTGAACTGATGTCAAGAGTGTGACATCCCATTTGTCATGCCACCGAAATGCCATGATATCATTGGAAGCAAATGCCTGCACCTCACCTCTGAGAATGCCTGTGTCAAACTTAGGCATATGCTTACGATTTGCATGCGCTATACTGCACACATCTGTCATGTTCACTTGCAAAAAATCACTGAGTAAGGGCCTTGTGTACCAGTTATCAGTATATAATGTATGCCCCTTACCAAGATATGGCTCCATCATTATTCTAACCACATTACCAGATACCTAATAACTTCCTGGTATCTTGCAATGTATTACTTCCAGTGTACACAATATCCAATACAAGACCACTGTAGCAATCACAAAGTACAAACAACTTTATACCAAAGCGTTTCCTCTTGCTTGGTATATACTGCTTGAATGACAGTCTACCTTTGAATGAAGTCAAAGACTCATCAGTAACAAGCTTTCTGAAGGGATAAAAATACATTGAGAATTTCTGTTTCAGATACATAAACACATTCCTAATCTTATATAACCTGTCTTTTCTGTCAGGCCTGGTTTTGTCTGAGAAGTGTAGCATATGTAATAATAGCACAAATAGATTCAATGGTATTATATCACTGAAAGCTGGGATTGAAATCAGGCGGTCTGTCAACCAGTATGATTTAACACTGCTTATACACATGTTGCATAAGCATTATTGTGGCAAAGATACATCTCAGCCACAGTTGTCTCCTTCCACTGGTGTAGGCATGATCTTGGTGAAGAATTGTGTTTGCCATGGTGTAATCAAAGTACATGTTGCTTTCCCTGACAATAATTTCCATCAGGGGTTCATCAAAGAATAACTCGAAACATTCCAGTTCGGTGGCATTGTTCTCAAGTGTACAAGATGGCTGTATTCCACTTTGACTTTCATCAAAGTGATGGGGATTGGGAACAAAATTGGCACCTTGCTGCTAATCCCAGATGTGGTCTGCTGGGGGGTACTGGATATTGACAGGTGGTTGTGGTTGTGGAGGTTGTGGTTGTGCAGGTTGGTGTGGTGGGTGGGTGGGTAGGTGAGGGTGGGCTTTGTTGTAGCTGAGCTGGGTCAACTGTGTGGGTATCAGCATGGGGCATTGCTGGTGCCTCATGGTGCATGGCATCACCACCATTTGATGATGCATGTGCATTATCCATCCCAATTGTAACTATCATCTTCATTTTCACTATCTGTTCCTGTTGTACAGCCAAGGGATGTACTCCAAGATGTACTCCTTCCCATTGGAATAGCATGTGGCCACTACCAGAGTGCATGTAGCGTCGTATATACTGACGCTTCACTGGAGAATATTCCACTTCACTCTCGCTACTGGAACTGTTTTCAAGAGCTTGGATATCATATTCACCATCACTATCATCACCACTGCTCACACCTGAGTCCTGGACACAGAAAAATGCGAGTTTCCTCTTTCGTTCTGGTACAGTTGACCATGAACAAGATGGCCCAGCACCAGAGGTGGAAAGATGATGGTTGTCTGGGTTTTCATCACTATTACCGGTATTATGGTCATTACTTTTGGTCACAAACTCCTCAAAACCATATAGTTCATCTTCACTGACACTTCCATCTGTGTTAGAGTATCACTTGGGAAAAGAAGAGTCCCAATTTGCTGCGAGTGAAAAGTTTCTCACTGCAAGGCATAGTAAACAAGGCATACTAAAATGGCATTCCCACAATGCAATGCAGGTGCCCTGATTTTTTTTCCTACTACACTCACTTGCCATGCAGACCCATTCTCTCACATGTAGGCCTACCAGCTTTCACCTGCTCAATTTGAAGGTGCTAGAATTTTGGCATATAAGTACAGGACTGACCCTGGCTTTCAAGCCATACATGTATGGGACCAACCCTGGAAGGGTTAACTAAGTTGTGATTGCCACTTTGTGTATTACTGTACTTCATTATAAATTAGCACCAGTGTTAATAAGTACAAACTTTTGGATTCTACCCCACTGCACTTGTACTTTTTTTTTCTTTTAAATGTGGATTCATTTGCAGAAGTATTGACATGTTAGCAAACCATATGCAGCTTTCAGTATTTTGCAGCAAATCATTCATTGTGGTATTTTAGAAATATCTAAGTTTAGTGAACACCTGTTAAGTCTTCATGATTTATAGAAATGTAGAGAAGCGAAAAGTAGACTACAATTATATCCTAAATCAGGGGGATTGGAGAAGATCAGTCATCATGTGTTCCACTTGGCAAGATACACACACCATGCCCTGAGAAGCTACAGACATGCTAATGGCTCCCCAGTTGCTCAGTTATACTGTGAAGAGCAGCACTGGGATGTCAAGACACACGGATCCATTGTCAACTTTAATTTGTTAAATTCAGATGGCTCCCATATTGGATATGCCCAGGTTAGTAGAAGAGTTTCATTGAGTGGAAGGAAAAAAAAAGAAAAAGTTCTGAAACCTGCAAAATCTCATCTATTAGTGAAATACTGTTTATAGAGTAGAGTTGGTTAATATATGTTCTGTTAACATTTTTTTTTTTTTCATCAACATGGTTGCAAAATTGCAGCATGCTTTTGGTGTACATGTTGTATTAATGTTTACACAACAGGGATACATGTAGGTTCTTTTCCCATCATTCTAGCATTGAACCTATGGACGAGTCAATTGTATTATGGGGGAGGCCTATGTAATGTACAGCGTCCCTCACCTTAGTGCTTCATTTGTACACATCAAATACTGTACTTGACTTGTGTTAGTGAATCAATTTCTTGTCTTTTCACCATCCTTTCTTGTCTCTGCATAGAAATCATGACCCCTAAGAGCAATGAGTAATCCTGGAAGTGCAGAGGAAGAGGATAAAGTGTGAAAGTCTTTGTGTTACAAAGAAAATTGAGATCCTAGATAATAGATAACTAAAGTGTAATGAACACTTGTCATTGCTCAGTAATAACCCACATGGAGACAGAAACTCAGACCAATTAATCTTCTGAGTTTGTCTCCTAGATAATCTTGATAGTGGTACATATGTGGAATCTTGATAGTGGTGCACATATGGCAGTGACTAAGCAATCCTGTAATCTGAATGAGGCCTCATTTCGCACAGTTAGAAAGTACGAGAATATACGAGCTTGTGTAATAAGTAACCTAAATTGTGACCTCCTGAAAAGACTGACAAATAGGTTACAATAGCTAAATAATATAGAAAAGTTATTAAATGAGTGGAATGAGTAAAAAACAGGAAATGTGCACAAATTTCATCTTAATAAGGAATGAGGAAGGAAGACCTGAACAAGTGCTTCTTTAGTACAGGCTGGTTCCACAAGTTCAAATTCTGCAGTTGGTTGCATAACACTGAATTTTCTGGTGAAAATGATTCTTCTGGCCACACAGCTGCAAAGAATTTCCCTGCTGAATTGCAGGAAATTATTTCTGAGGGTAGCTACAAGCCACAAAGTGTTTAATATTGGCAAAACAAGTCTTATTTGAAGAAGGTACCAATGAGAACTTACATCAACCAGAAAGAGAAAGTGCACTGGGTTTCAAAGGAGCAAAGGATCACTTTAGCTTGCTAATTTGCAGTAATGCATCAGGTGATTTTAAGGGTAAGCCCATGGTTATTTATCACTCCAAGACTTCCCATTCTTTTAAAGGTACAGATAAAACCATCTTGCTAAATATTTGGAGGTAAAACTAGAGAGCATGCATGACAGAGGAACCTTGCATTCAAGATTCTTTCATCTTTCACTTTTAATAATTTCCATACTTTTCCAGAAGTTTTGGTGGATGTTCATCCACATATAAATGTTGTGTTTTACCACTAAATACAACTTCTTTAATACACCCACTGTATCACAGCATTATTAAGAAGTTTTAGGTGTAACTACACACAAAAAGTGAAGCTGAAACTTGTTGCAGCAATGGATACTAAATCCAAGCCTGAGTGCCAGACTCTTGCTGTAAATTTAACATTGCAGAAGCCGTCAGCTTCAAGAAAAGTGCATGTAATGAAGGCCCCATTCTACATTAAAGGCAGGTTGGGGAAAGTTATGGCCTAGTATGATGAATACTTTTACAGGCTTTCCACTCAGTTGAGCATTGGGTCCAGGAAATTGTTTAGCTGGCAAGGAGATTGCCAGGTGAGTGCTTTAAAAATATGAACTATTAAATGATGATAAGGAAGACCATTATCCAGAGGAAATAATGGCAGATCTCAGTGTCCAGATACAGGGAAGGCAGATAACAGATGAAGATGTAGAAGAACCTGACAAAAAATTAACATTGCAACAGTTACATTATGAGTTCCATATTTTTTGTAAAGTTGCAGACTTTTTCACTGAAGAGGACTCTGACAAATTTAGAAGTGCTGCTCTGAAATGGGTTCTGGAGCAGCTGGTGATGTCTTACTGTCAGCTGTTTAAAGTGCTGCAGGGTGAAACAGATCAGAGATGCAGTACAGAATTCCTCAGTGCTCCGTTACAGTCATTGCCGTTACTGCAAAAATCTCAGTGATCTACAATCTTCCATGTCAGCCCAGTAGGGCTACCCCATCCCTCTCCACTAATTTTAACCCTTTGACTGTCACAGGCCCCTTTCTGAAACTGTCATTCTATGTCGATAAATATTTGAAAAAAAAAATTATTTTTTTCTTATGAAATGATAGAGAATCTTTTCCCAATGGTAATGACACCAAAAGTACGAAATTTGGTTGAAAACTCATGGAATTACGCTCCCACAAAGTTAGCAGTCTCGGCGACATATACGCATCGGCGATTTTGCCGACTTTGAGCCCTGTTTTTGGCCAATTTCGTTATTCCAGTTGACCAAACTCATAGCCATTTCTTTAGAACTCCATTTTTTCTATATGTTGAGTACAAGAAACCGCCCATTTACCGATTTGAACTACTCCATAAAGTGGTCAGAAATTGGCAATTTGGCCAATTTCATGCAAATTAAAAAAGATGCCAATTTCAAAATAGGGTCCAGAATAAACAATGTAGACATTCTTGGCACTAAAACAACATCCTCTGTTCATTAGTTACGTCTCTAGGCCCCTCTTATATTACTATTGCTTTCTACACACACTATTGCTTTCTGTTTTGTTTTTTTATTCATACAAAAAATACAAAATTTACTGTTATGCAGACTACTGCATTATTGTAAAAATGGTATAAATAATATCAGTACACTAATGAAAGAATATTAGACTCCCCAGTTGAAGTGTATTGGACGTGTGGTGTGATTTGCTTACTCCTGAACATTGGTAAAAATCGAACATTTTCGCTACTTTTAGCTCAATTTCAAGGTCGTTTTCATCGTGAAAGTAATCAAGATCATCTCTATTTCTGTAATATGTTTTCCATTTTATCATTTGAGACCATGAAAACGAGAATGCAACGATAAATGCTATACGAAAATACACCTCGGTCAGTGTTTTAATCCAAAAAAAACCGGTCGTTTTTTTTTTTCTCATTACGCACTGCGTGCTGCAGGATTTTTTTATGTGGTGCACACTGACCACACAGACCCATTCTCTCACATGTGGGCCTACCAGCTTTCTCCCACTTGATTTGTAGCCGCTAGAATTTACGCGTATAAATACGTCAGAAACAGTGGTGTGTAAGACGTATATATATGACCGAAACAGTCAAAGGGTTAAAATCAAAAGCAAAAAGAATTTAAGAGGAGAAATATTGTTTATGGAACCTATTGTAGCTATAAGTATTGTATTAACTATAACACATAATTGCATCAACCTACAGTTATATTATCATTTTTTTTTTTTTTACAATTTTGAGACCTAAAAATAAATTTGGTTGGCTTGTTTGGGGGTGTAAGGAATATAACCCTATTTTTCTCACATGTTCTTCAGTTCATTTTACATGATTTTTTTATTGCATTCAGTTTTCAGGAATATAACCACATTGTCTACTTGACTAATCACAGTACAATAAAACCTTGCTTGTATTTTTACATCTAGTTTTAGCACTTGCAGTAGTCATTGATATTATTATTACTCCCATAAATCACTAAACCCGTATGGGTCATACAGTACTACCGGAACACTGTGCTGAGTAGTCTTAATGCTATTGTATACTATATCCATTATTTCAGGTTGAAAGAGTTGCTTCTTTATACAATATATATTTACGAGTTGGGTGCCTGTGCAATCCAGGAGCTTGCCAGACTTACCTTGATATCTCGCGGGAAAAGCTGTTGCATCATTTTGAGGTAAGGTTCATTTTAGTCTCAAGCTGCCAAGTTACATTATGTAAGTTAGTAGCTCAAGCAAATTGTTGGGTGTGGTTTGTAAACAAAATGGCTAAAGTGTATCTGAACTGATTTGGATTTATCTTTAAAGTGCCAAATAGTAATACAGTACTGTATGGGACTAACATATCATCTGAGCTGTGATGTCAGCACACTTCTGGTAAGACAGCAGTTGAATGAATGATGGTGAGTGTTTCCTCTTCCTTGTGTCACCCTACTTGGGTGAGAGATGACCAGGTTTTTTTAACCCTTTGACTGTTTCAGGCCCCTCTCTGAAACTGTCATTCTATGTCGCTCAATTTTTGAAAAAAAAAAAATTATTTTTTCTTATGAAATGATAGAGAATCTTTTCCCGATGGTAATGACACCAAAAGTTCGAAATTTGGTCGAAAACTCGTGGAATTATGCTCCCGCGAAGTTAGCGGTCTCGGCGACATATGCGTATTGGCGATTTCGCCAACTTTGAGCCCTATTTTCAGCCAATTCCGTTGTTCCAGTTGACCAAACTCATAGCTATTTCTTTAGAACTCCATTTTATCTATCAGCTGAGTACAAGAAACCTCCCATTTACTAATTTGGACTACCCAATATGGTGGTCAGAAATTGGCAATTTGGCCAATTTCACGCAAAATAAAAAAGATGCCAATTTCAAAATAGGGTCCAGAATAAACAAGGTAGACATTCTTGGCACTAAAATAACATATCCTCTGTTCATTAGTCACATCTCTAGGCCCCTCTTATATTATTATTGCTTTCTATTTTGATTTTTTATTCATACAAAAAAATACAAAATTTACTGTTATGCAGACGACTGCATTATTGTAAAAATGGTATAAATAATATCAGTGCACTAGTGAAAGAATATTAGACTCCCTAGTTGACGTGTATTGGACGTGTGGTGTGATTTATTTACTCTTCAACATTGGTAAAAATCGAACATTTTCGCTACTTTGAGCTTAGTTTCAAGGTCGTTTTCATCGTAAAAGTAATGAAAATCATCTCTATTTCTGTAATATGTTTTCCATTTTATCACCTAAGACCATGAAAACGTGAATACAACGATAAATACTATACGAAAATACACCTCAAAGTCGGCGTTTTATTCCAAAAAAACGATCAGTTTTTTTTTTCTCATTACGCAATGTGTGCTGCAGGATTTTTTTTATGTGGTGCACACTGACCACACAGACCCATTCTCTCACATGTGGGCCTACCAGCTTTCTCCCACTTGATTTGAAGCCGCTAGAATTATTGAGTATATATACGTCAGAAACATTGGCTCGTAAGACGTATTTATACGTCGAAAACAGTCAAAGGGTTAAGAGAGAAAAAAAAGCATCTATAAAAAAGGAGGAGCACTGCAGTATGTCTAATCGCTTATTTAGGCAGGTCCTTCTCGAACCCAAACCCTGTAACAAAAATATTTGCCCAGCCCATTTTCAATGCTACCCAAGGAATAAGCTTGATAACCCTGTTAATTCATGTTGTGCAAGTCCTGTTCAAACCCAACCCCACTCACTCGTGTATTATTTATTTTTTCTCAAAAAAAAAAAAAAAACCAGCCGTATCCCACTGAATCAGGGTAACCTGAAAATGAAAACTTTTGTTTTTCTTTTAAAATTTAGTAATTTATACAGAAGGGGTTATTAGCCCCTTGCTCCCAGCATTTTAGCCGCCTCTTATGACACATATTGCTTACAGAGGAAGAATTCTACTCGTATATTTATCTAACCTATATTTGAAGCTATCCAAGGTTTTATCTTCAATCACCCTACTAGGTAGGTAGACTGTTCCACTCATCAGCTTCTCTATTTCAAAACTAGTACTTACCTACGTTCTTTCTAAATCTAAATTTATCTAATTTCATTTCATTAATTCGAGTTCTTTCTTTCAGAACCTTATTTATACCTACTTTATGCCCATCTTCCACTTACATATTTCAGTCATATCTCCCCTCATTCTACATTGTACAAGAGAATGTAGTTCAAGGGCTCTCAATCTTTCTTTGTATGAAGGATTTCTTATGCAGTGGATTAGTTTTGTCATTCTTCTTCAGTAAATTTATATCCATTCTATAGTACAAAAACAAAAACTGAGCTGCATAATCTAAGTGAGGCCTTACTAAAGATGGGTAGAGCTGTAGTATAACCTCTTGGCTCCTGTTGCTTATATGTCTTGATATAAATCTCAGTAATCTGTTAGCCTTGTTATGCACGCTTAGGCATTACTATCTTGGCATGAGGTTGGTGCTTATCATAACTCTCAAGTCTTTTCCAAATTCTGAATGGCCAATTTCTGAATTAGTTTGTAAGTGCCAGGGTTATTTATATTCCAGAGCTGTAGGACTTTGCATTTTTTTCTTTTTCCAACAAGTCGGCCGTCTCCCACTGAGGCAGGGTAACCCAAAAAGGAAAGAAAATCCCCAAAAAGAAAATACTTTCATTATCATTCAACACTTTTACCTCACTCACACATAATCACTGTTTTTGCAGAGGTGCTCAGAATACAACAGTTCAGAAGCATATAGTATGTATAAAAACACACAACATATCCCTCCAAACTGCCAATATCCCAAACTCCTCCTTTAGAGTGCAGGCATTGTATTTCCCATTTCCAGGACTTAAGTCCAGTTATATAAAAATAACTGGTTTCCCTGAATCCCTTCACTAAATATTACCCTGCTCACACTCCAACAGCTCGTCAGGTCCCAAATACCATTCGTCTCCATTCACTCCTATCTTTCATGCTCACGCACGCTTGCTGGAAGTCCAAGCCCCTCGCCCACAAAACCTCCTTTACCCCTTCCTTCCAACCTTTTCGAGGACGACCCATACCCCGCCTTTCTTTCACTACAGATGTATACACTCTCCAAGTCATTCTACTTTGTTCCATTCTTTCAAATGACCAAACCACTTCAACAACCCCTCTTCAGCCCTCTGACTAATACTTTTAGTAATGCCACACCTCCTCCTAATTTCCACACTCCGAATTTTCTGCATAATATTTACACCACACATTGCCTTTAGACAGGACATCTCTACTGCCTCCAGCTGCCTCCTCACCACAGCTTTTACAACCCAAGCTTTACACTCATAGAGTGTTGGTACCACTATACTTTTGTATGTTCCCTTCTTTACCTCCATGGATAATGTTCTTTGTCTCCACAGATACCTCAATGCACCACTTGTCTTTTTTCCTTCATCAATTCTATGGTTAACATCATCTTTCATAAACCCATCTGCTGACAAGTCAACTCCCAAATATCGGAAAACATTCTCTCCTTCCATACTCCCTCTCTTCAATGTCTGGTTTATTGGGTGGTAATTTGACAGCAGTGACTTATCCCATTTTAAAAATGGGAATTCATTTGTTTATTTATATTTTCAGGAAGGACATGTTTGTGGGGATGCCCGGGATTTGGTGGATGGGCTACCAACAGGCTCAGTGCGTGTCAGTTTTGGCTACACAAGCTCATATAGGGATGCTGATCTACTCCTGAAAATGGTGCGGGAGTGTTTTGTTGAAGGTCCTCTTGTTATAGATTTGTCATGGATGGAAAAGAGTGCTGTGTCTTTGAACTCTGAACAGGATGAAGCCATTGTTCAGCTTAACTTGCATAACAGAGGGCCAGTTGTTGAAACAAGTGACTGCCTAACAGGGATTAAAAAATGTGATACTATGTCTAATGCTTACACAGTCAGTAGCAGCAAACATTATAGCAAAAACAAGCAAATATCAATGAAAGACTTTAAACTTGTATCAAAATACAACTTTGTACAATCTGAAGATACCCTGTATAATTATGTGGGAGACTCGGATTCATCTGTTAGAAGAGAACCATGCAGTAAGAGACCTTTAAGACTCTTCCTTACAGATATTATCATCTTCCCCGTCAAATCATGTAGTGGTATTTCACTGAAAAGATGGATCATTGACCAAGAGGGTCTGAAATATGATCGTCGATGGATGGTGGTAACTAGCTCTGGCATGACGCTGACACAGAAGAGACTTCCACGCATGAATCTCATTAAACCTTGCCTTGATCTCCAGGCTGGGACACTTATCCTCACATATGAAGGTACTGTACTGTAATAAATACTGTTTCTATATTGAAATTGAGTTCCTGTCAATTATGGTTACCGTGTAGGTCAGTTAGTCTGACAGAACTAATGGAGTCACTGATATTCAATTGAATGCTTGTCACAACTGATTTGAAGAGTGTGTTGTTTATAGGCTGGATAACTTTTATTTACAAATGTTAAAAAGGCTTTCTAGTGGTTGAATTGAAAATGGTCCCAGGCTTGAATGTTCTGAGGAGGGACACTAAAGGTTTGCATTACTAGTTATTACTAGAATGACTCTAGACTCTTCAGAGATAAAACTTGACCAGTGCTGAGGAAAAAAGTTTATCAGCCCAACATAACTGAGCACTTGCTACATTAGCAAGATGTGACCACTAATGTGAACAAAGAGATAAACAGCATATTGAAGACAGTTTTGTAAACCAAAAAAACAAAATGCTACAGTAGAAAGAAAAACATTAAAAATGGATTTTGCTAAAAATAAGTAAGAAATGAAAATTGTTATTGCAATTGACAGAACCTGACATCACATTAAATGAATTGCAGAGATGCACAAGTTCATGTTCATATAAAACTGACAGTGGATAATGTCTCCATTATGGTGTGTCACCATGCCTAGCCTAATTTACAGTGCATTACATTCTCCTGCACTGGGTCTCTGGGTACAACCCTTTCAAGATTATGCACAGGACTCTCATAGCCAGATTTTACTGACTGTGATGGTTGTGTGGTGTTTACACCTAAAGAAAAGATGTGGATAATATATAAAAAGTCCAAAGACATGTCACAAGATGACTCCCATAATGAAGAAAGATGTTGCAGAAAAAATTAAGAAAATGCTCAAACTCTCTGACTAATAGAAGTATGGAAGAAGTGAATGTTTTCAGATATTTGGGAGTTGATATGTCAGTGGATGGATTTATGAAGGATGAGGTTAATCATAGAATTGGTGAAGGAAAAAAGGCGAGTGGCGCGTTGAGGTATATGTGGAGACAAAAAACGTTATCTATGGAGGCAAAGAAGAATGTATGAAAGTATAGTAGTACCAACACTCTTATATGGGTGTGAAGCTTGGGTTGTAAATGCTGCAGCGAGGAGGCGGTTGGAGGCAGTGGAGATGTCCTGTCTAAGGGCAATGTGTGGTGTAAATATTATGCAGAAAATTCAGTGTTTGGAAATTAGGAGAAGGTGTGGAGTTAATAAAAGTATTAGTCAGAGGGCTGAAGAGGGGTTGTTGAGGTGGTTTGGTCATTTAGAGAGAATGGATCAAAGTAGAATGACATGGAGAGCGTATAAATCTGTAGGGGAAGGAAGGCAGGGTAGGGGGTCGTCCTTGAAAAGGTTGGAGGGAGGGGGTAAAGGAGGTTTTGTGGGCGAGGGGCTTGGACTTCCAGTAAGCGTGCGTGAGCGTGATGGATAGGAGTGAATGGAGACAAATGGTATTTGTGACCTGACGAGCTGTTGGAGTGTGAGCAGGGTAATATTTAGTGAAGGGATTCAGGGAAACCGGTTATTTTTATATAGCCGAACTTGAGTCCTGGAAATGGGAAGTACAATGCCTGCACTTTAAATGAGGGGTTGGGATATTGGCAGTTTGGAGGGATATGTTGTGTATCTTTGTATGTATATGCTTCTAAACTGTTGTATTCTGAGTACCTCTGATTATGTATGAGTGAGGTGAAAGTGTTGAATGATGATGAAAGTACAGTATTTTCTTTTTGGGGATTTTCTTTCTTTTTGGTCACCCTGCCTTGGTGGGAGACGGCCAACTTGCTATAAAAAAAAAAAGAATAAGTACAAGGAAATAAATAAATAAATAATTTCTTGGCACCAACCTGTATTCCCTGGAACGCAGGAGGGAGAGATACATGATTATATACACCTGGAAAATCCTAGAGGGACTAGTACCGAACTTGCACACGAAAATCACTCACTACGAAAGCAAAAGACTTGGCAGACGATGCACCATCCCCCCAATGAAAAGCAGGGGTGTCACTAGCACGTTATGAGACCATACAATAAGTGTCAGGGGCCCGAGACTGTTCAACTGCCTCCCAGCACACATAAGGGGGATTACCAATAGACCCCTGGCAGTCTTCAAGCTGGCACTGGACAAGCACCTAAAGTCAGTTCCTGATCAGCCGGGCTGTGGCTCGTACGTTGGTTTGCGTGCAGCCAGCAGCAACAGCCTGGTTGATCAGGTTCTGATCCACCAGGAGGCCTGGTCACAGACCGGGCCGTGGGGGCGTTGACCCCCGGAACTCTCTCCAGGTAAACTCCAGGTAAACAGTAGGGAGAAGAGTAGGCCACAATTATTATTACATTCATGGGAGATTGTGCTAAACCCATATTGGTCATACAGTGTCTGGAGAAATGGAAGGCATTCAGGTTCAGTTCCGGGAAGGGGAGCACAGGTCCAGTTCATTGGATCAAGAGCCCCTCACCAGTGTCAAGGTTCTCTCTTGAGGGGTGGAAACTGAGAAATGCAGTTCTTAGAGGATATTAAATTTTTCTTCAGAAATAATGATGGAACACTGGAAAGGATTCCAAAGGAAGGTAATAAATGCTATAACCATTAGAAAATTAACACTTTTGACAAATTGGTACACCAATCACAAATGGGTAATTAAATTCATGTCTGATGGTGGTCCCCCAATTATGCTTAAGCCATCATCCTCAGGCATGCTGCTTAGGGCAGGTACTAGTGCAATTCTCACAGCAGGTTGGTATCATACTTTTAAAATGAACAGTGCATGCCACATTATACTTATACATCCAATAATCTGTGCCTTGAACTTACCTATTTTTAAAGCCTTTCTTCCTTCTTTCCTCCAAGGCTGCCTACCTTCCTCCCTCCCAGACTTCCTCCCTGCCTTCATTGATCAATGAAACTTAAACTTTGCATAATTTTAAAAATAGGTAAGACAAATATAGGAGTGAGGGGGGTTGGATTTGAGTACAACTTGCCTGTCATGGGCCATTAGGCCTACTGCAGTGCTCCTCTATTCTATGCTTTAACTGACAACTGCAGTGATGATCTGATACATAAACATAGTGAGGGAAGAGGTCATCATGAACTAACATCTGTCTCCTTTGGATCAAACCTGATTTTCCCATTCCCCTGTGCATTATATAACCCCTATGGGTGTACACTGTAGACGATAGTTCACAGAACTGACAAGTTGATAAATTAGACACATGCAACACTGGAGTATCTCAGTAAAGATATGCAAGTGTTGCATATGTCTAATTTATCAATCCCTGTGGGTTTAGAGCTCTCTCCTCATTATGATAGTACCATATATACTAGAGTATAGGTCAAGGCTTGAAAACCAGTTTTTTTAAGTAAAAGAAAAGAGTGATAATAGATGTTAAAAAACTGTGCCAACAAGCAAAAAACAACATATAGGTAATAATAAATCTGTGGTTCTTTACCAACCTCTGGCAAACAAACATGTATTAGGTGTGAGTAGGGACTACCTAGCATGGGCTCCTGGGCTTGTTGCAGTGCATTTCTATTCCTGTGTAATAGTCGGGTGTGAGTGAGACCTACTTGGCATTGGTCCATAAACCTGATCCAGAGTTGCTTATGTTCTTAAGTGGTGATTGGACGTATCATAAGTAGGATCTGCCTGCCATCACAAGTAGGTCTAAAAGCTGATTTTCATGTCTATTTTTACATTTTTAGTACAGCTCATTACATTTTTCCTAATTTTGGTTAGAATATATTTTGTATTAGACTCATTTAATCATTTAACCTTCTTTTATTATCCTTCAAAAATAAGGGCTGATTATAGACAAGATTTATGAAACAGTAATGATTTCGGGGCAAAAAAATCAAAGGTCAATTTTTTCACACCATCAGATTACGCTCTGGGATGTACAAAAATAAAATATAAATACTACAAGCCTAAAATGTGAATGCAACTTACACTATTTTTTCCATTTAATATGATTTATTTTGTTGACAGGTGAAAAGGATATTATTGTGCCTCTGGAACCCTCAGTATCCACAACAAGTGACTTGTCTTTGTGTGGAGGTCGTGTGTGTGGTGACCAATTGAAAGGTCGAGACTGTGGGCCTGAGGTTGGAATGTGGCTTTCCAAAGTGTTGAGAATGCCAGACCTGAGGCTTATGCAACAGATTACCAGGCGATCAGGAAAGCTGCAAGCTGATGTCCACAGTAAGTTGAAAATGAGCAGGGGCTTTAGTAATTTATTAGTGAAAGATTTGTTATTTTCCTGATCATGTATGGCAGTTTGTTAACTTAGGAGTAATCTAGAAAACAGCAAGGGTGGTATATTTGTATCTATAACATAATGATACAACAAATTAAAAAATAAAATACAGTACAGGAGGGCCTTGCTTATACAGCAGGTTAGGTTCTAGGCTACTGCTGTAAAGCAGAAATTGCTGTAAAGTGAATCATAACCTCTTTTCATTTTCAAAGGCATATAAAAGCCTGATAGGTTTACACTATCATGTATTAAGTGAGCAGTAGAGCTAAGCCTAAATAATGCATATAGAATACACACATTACTTACCCTAAAATATTTTTGTCCTTAGCTTAGAGTGCGTGGTGAATATATTTATTGTAGGAAGTCTGAATAAATGAAGAATGGGTATAATTGACAACCACTGTATTAGTCAAATGCTGGAGAGTAAAGTAGTGTAAAGTGGGGCCCTCCTGTATAAGGGGCGGGTGGGAAGACTTTTTTCCTGTAATAAACTATACGTTTTATACTGTAGTTCATTATTTTATGTCCATTTCATTACTTTTCCCATATTGCTATTGCACTGAATAACCCTTAAAGGTTTAGTGCTTTGTGTGAATATAACTCCAGTACTTTTTTATATTGCTGTATTTTTAATTAACATGTAACCATTTGAATAAGTATAATTATTTTACTTACTGATATAATTTTCATTACTGCATCTTATTTCTTCATGTGCTTCTTTGTGCATCATGGACATATTATTCCTTCTGACAAGTCGTGTCAAAAGATGAAAGCTATCCTATTAAGTAGTCCTCTGTTAAAGCTATCTAGCCTTCAAAGATGCTGTCTTGTTGAACCAGCTGTTGTACACAACTTTCATAACATGAATCTTGGCTCTGACTTTGTATCTGTAGATGCCTGCTTTTCTCATTACAGTTCCTTGTCTTCTAATTTTCTGAACACTCATGACTCGACCTAACCTTTGCTGCCTCATCTCTTTGCTTTTCATTTGTCTTCTGTATTTTCTTTACCTTCTCTGTCTGCCTTGGTATATTTTTGCCCCAAGGGGTTTTTGCCCTTTGCCCATGGGCCAGTAGCCTTCTTTACCGCTCTTTCATTCTCATGTTCTTTTATACTACCACTACTAGTTCTTTCACTACCACTATACACAAATAACCCACAAATAGGAAACTGAAGCTTAAGATGGTATTTTGGTCGAATTTGGACCACTAACTAGTCGTATTAACTAGTGTGACTAGTTAATGGTCCAAGTCAGACCAAAAAGTCGCCATGAGTTTCTCCTGCATGTGAGTTATTTGTGCATTTTCCATTCACAGTAGTGTGCCTTTTTATTCACTACTGTTGCTGCTACTCTTGTTTTTTCCTCTTCTACTTCCTCCCTTTCCCTGTTCTATTTTCTGGCCTTTCTGCCTCTTACTCATTCAGTTGATTTGACAATGGTCCAGGACAGTCTGAAACATCATCATAAGGTTTCTGTCCTAAGTGTGGCTGTTAGTGAATTGTTCCAGCCACAGTACTGTGATTTTTTGTTTTAGCAATAAGTAGTAACACTGGCATTATTTCATCATTTTACAGGACAGTCGGAGAGTTTATCCCTCGCCAATGAATCACAGTATCTTGTGATTCATAGGCCAAGTGTGCGTAAGCTGCTTGATGAAATAAAAAAGAAAGGCTTAATAGCAATGACTGAAGTAAGTGGTGTACATGTACTATTCATGGTTCTGTATGCAATGAACTGTTCCATTCATGTACTGTTATGGCTTTAGCAGATTATTCTATAGCTCAGTTGGTTTCACTTGGGCAGTGAGAAAAATCATTGTATTTCTGTTATAATGAAGCAGCTTGCTGTATCATCAGCATCTTTATTCATTAACACCATAAGACATCTTACTTAATAGTCTCTCTATTTCTTAAGTAACATTTAAGCCATATGATTAGTTGCCAAACTGCATTGCATAATTAGTGGCTTTCTTTGGTGCCTATTAGTGTGTTAATTCATGTAAACTACATTATTTATACCACATAAAGAAATAAAAAAATTGTTATAAATATACAGTGCAGGTCATAGATAGCCACATATTTCGGCCTCAGTCAGAGACCCTCTTCAGCGGTTCTCTACGGCTGAAATACACTGCTCTCTCTCACCTACATTTCATATTTACGTCCACCTGGTTTCCCCACTTAGCATCATTTAATGTTTAAGACACTTGAATCCAAGCTGTGAGTACTGTTCTATTCTTACACTAAGTCCATGTAATCTTGTACTTAATTACTATGCCTTTTCTTCACTCCTGCACCATACACATTTAGCATGTTTGATGAATAGTTTTTTAACCACATTGTTTATCACCAAGGTAGGGCAACCCAACGAAGAAAACACATTTTGTTTACCACTAAGGTAGGGTAACCCAAAGAAGAGAACACATTTTCCATCACTCATTTAATAGCTGTCTTGTCAAAAGTTTCAGGGTAAAAAAGGGTTCTTTAACCCTTTCAGGATCGAGAGGCCCTCTCCTGAACTTGTTCTCAGGGTCAAAAATTTTTCAAAAAAATAAAAATTATTTTTTCTTATGAAATGGTAGAGAATCTTTTCCTGATCATAATGACACCAAAAGTATGAAATTTGATGGAAAACTTATGCAATTATGCTCTCACAAAGTTTGCAGTCTTGACAGTGTTTACGCAGTGGCGATTTCACCCACTTTGAGCCCAATTTTTGGCCAATTCCAATGCACCAGTCAACAAAAATCGTAGCTATTTCGTTAGAACTCCATTTGTTCTATCAAATGAGTACAAGAAACCGGCCAATTACCAATTTCAGCTATCCAATAAAGTGGTCAGAAATTGGCAATTTCGCCAATTTCACACAAATTTCAAAAGATGCCATTTTCTCTGTTCATTAGTCACGTCCCCAGGCCCCTCTTACATTTCTTTTGCTTTCCACTTTGAACTTTTATTCTCACAAAAAATAAAAGATTTACTGTTATGCAGACTACTGCATTAGTGTAAAATGGTATAAATAATATCAGCACACTTGCGAAAGAATTTACTCACCAGTTGATGTGTATTGGATGCGTGGCATGATTCGTTTACTTTTGAAAATTGGCAAAAATCGAACATTTCTGCTACTTTGAGCTCAATTTCAAGGTACTTTTCATTGTGAAACCAAGCAAATGTATAGGAGCCTTTGAGCCAAGTAAGAGAGTAATTGTGGTAGGGGATCTGAATGCTAAAGTAGGAGAAACTTTTAGAGAGGGTGTGGTAGGTAAGTTTGGGGTGCCAGGTGTAAATTATAATGGGAGCCCTTTGATTGAACTTTGTATAGAAAGGGGTTTAGTTATAGGTAATACATATTTTAAGAAAAAGAGGATAAATAAGTATACAAGATATGATGTAGGGCAAAATGACAGTAGTTTGTTGGATTATGTATTGGTAGATAAAAGACTGTTGAGTAGACTTCAGGATGTACATGTTTATAGAGGGGCCACAGATATATCAGATCACTTTCTAGTCGTAGCTACACTGAGAGTAAAAGGTAGATGGGATACAAGGAGAATAGAAGCATCAGGGAAGAGAGAGGTGAAGGTTTATAAACTAAAAGAGGAGGCAGTTAGGGTAAGATATAAACAGCTATTGGAGGATAGATGGGCTAATGAGAGCATAGGCAATGGGGTCGAAGAGGTATGGGGTAGGTTTAAAAATGTAGTGTTAGAGTGTTCAGCAGAAGTTTGTGGTTACAGGAAAGTGGGTGTGGGAGGGAAGAGGAGCGATTGGTGGAATGATGATGTAAAGAGAGTAGTAAGGGAGAAAAAGTTAGCATATGAGAAATTTTTACAAAGTAGAAGTGATGCAAGGAGGGAAGAGTATATGGAGAAAAAGAGAGAGATTAAGAGAGTGGTGAAGAAATGTAAAAAGAGAGCAAATGAGAGAGTGGGTGAGATGTTATCAACAAATTTTTTTGAAAATAAGAAAAAGTTTTGGAGTGAGATTAACAAGTTAAGGAAGCCTAGAGAACAAATGGATTTGTCAGTTAAAAATAGGAGAGGAGAGTTATTAAATGGAGAGTTAGAGGTATTGGGAAGATGGAGGGAATATTTTGAGGAATTGTTAAATGTTGATGAAGATAGGGAAGCTGTGATTTCGTGTATAGGGCAAGGAGGAATAACATCTTGTAGGAGTGAGGAAGAGCCAGTTGTGAGTGTGGGGGAAGTTCGTGAGCAGTAGGTTAAAATGAAAGGGGGTAAGGCAGCCGGGATTGATGGGATAAAGATAGAAATGTTAAAAGCAGGTGGGGATATAGTTTTGGAGTAGTTGGTGTTATTATTTAATAAATGTATGGAAGAGGGTAAGGTAACCTAGGATTGGCAAGAAACATGCATAGTTCCTTTGTATAAAGGCAAAGGGGACAAAAGAGAGTGCAAAAATTATAGGGGGATAAGTCTGTTGAGTATACCTGGTAAAGTCTATGATAGTTATTATTGAAAGAATTAAGAGTAAGACTGAGAATAGGATAGCAGATGAACAAGGAGGCTTTAGGAAAGGTAGGGAGTGTGTGGACCAGGTGTTTACAGTGAAACATATAAGTGAACAGTATTTAGATAAGGCTAAAGAGGTCTTTGTGGCATTTATGGATTTGGAAAAGGCGTATGACAGGGTGGATAGGGGGGCAATGTGGCAGATGTTGCAGGTGTATGGTGTAGAGGTAGGTTACTGAAAGCAGTGAAGAGTTTTTACGAGGATAGTGAGGCTCAAGTTAGAGTATGTAGGAAAGAGGAAATTATTTCCCAGTAAAAGTAGGCCTTAGACAAGGATGTGTGATGTCACCGTGGTTGTTTAATATATTTAAGATGGGGTTGTAAGAGAAGTAAATGCGAGGGTCTTGGCAAGAGGCTGGAGTTAAAAGATAAAGAATCACACATAAAGTGGGAGTTGTCACAGTTGCTCTTTGCTGATGACACTGTGCTCTTGGGAGATTCTGAAGAGAAGTTGCAGAGATTGGTGGATGAATTTGGTAGGGTGTGCAAAAGAAGAAAATTAAAAGTGAATACAGGAAAGAGTAAGGTAATGAGGATAACAAAAAGATTAGGTGATGAAAGATTGATATCAGATTGGAGGGAGAGAGTATGGAGGAGGTGAATGTATTCAGATATTTGGTGAGTGGACGTGTCAGCGATGGGTCTATGAAAGATGAGATGAATCATAGAATTGATGAGGGGAAAAAGGTGAGTGGTGCACTTAGGAGTCTGTGGAGACAAAGAACTTTGTCCTTGGAGGCAAAGAGGGGAATGTATGAGAGTATAGTTTTACCAATGCTCGTATATGGTGTGAAGCATGGGTGATGATGTTGCAGCGAGGAGAAGGCTGGAGGCAGTGGAGATGTCATGTCTGAGGGCAATGTGTGGTGTGAATATAATGCAGAGAATTCGTAGTTTGGAAGTTAGGAGGAGGTGCGGGATTACCAAAACTGTTGTCCAGAGGGCTGAGGAAGGGTTGTTGAGGTGGTTCGGACATGTAGAGAGAATGGAGCGAAATAGAGTGACTTCAAGAGTGTATCAGTCTGTAGTGGAAGGAAGGCGGGGTAGGGGTTGGCCTAGGAAAGGTTGGAGGGAGGGGGTAAAGGAGGTTTTGTGTGCGAGGGGCTTGGACTTCCAGCAGGCATGCGTGAGCGTGTTTGATAGGAGTGAATGGAGACAAATGGTTTTTAATACTTGACGTGCTGTTGGAGTGTGAGCAAAGTAACATTTATGAAGGGGTTCAGGGAAACCGGCAGGCCGGACTCGAGTCCTGGAGATGGGAAGTACAGTGCCTGCACTCTGAAGGAGGGGTGTTAATGTTGCAGTTTAAAAACTGTAGTGTAAAGCACCCTTCTGGCAAGACAGTGATGGAGTGAATGATGGTGAAAGTTTTTCTTTTTCGGGCCACCCTGACTTGGTGGGAATCGGCCAGTGTGATAATAAAAAATAAAAAAAAATTCTGTAATATGTCTTCCATTCTATAAAATGACACCAAGAAAACGAGAATACAACCATAAATACCATACGAAAATACACTGCAAATTCGCTGTTTTAAACGAAAAGCATGGTCAAAATTTTTTTTTTCTCATTATGCACCGCTGCAGGATTTTTTTATACTGTGCACACTGACCACAAAGACCCATTGTTTCATATGTAGGCCTACCAGCTTTCTCTCGCTAGAATTTATGAGTACTAGTACGACACCAACCCTGGCGTGCAAGCGGTACTAGTACAACACCGGCCCAGAAAGGGTTAAAGTTTCCAGCGGCTGAGTCCATTGAAAAGGTTAGGAAGCCTACCTTGTCAGTTCTTTTGAATCCTTAATCTTTAATGTGGATATCAGGTCTATTCTTATTTCCTATTAGACAGTGATAGAAAATTCAGTGCTTTCAGTCTTTCTTTGTAACCCATTTTCTGTGAGAGCTATTTTGTAAATCAATTTTGTTCTGTTTTTGGACTTATTGTTTTTTAAGGCATGGCTACCGTCCCATTGGTGCATATTATAATTTTTGGTATATTGTAAGTAGTGTTTTCAGTATTTCCATATCCATATATCTAAAAACAATTTTGTACCAAAAATGTGAAATTTATTTTAAAGTTGACATGTACAACCATAGAGGATGACATACAAGAGAGTGATTGGGAATTAAGCATTCAGTAAATACTTGAGCATGTTTTGGTAGCTAGTGGAGGCGAGTTGTCTATGGAATTTGAAATGCTGTTGGAATGTGAGCAAGTTAATATCTGTGAAACTAGCTTTACTTGATACTTTGAAGCTGACAAATACAGTATCAGCACTGAAAGTGAACTAGGACATCATTGTCCTGTGGAGTGGCAGCTAGGGTGTAAGTGATGTGCATGGTCTTTCCTGTGTCTCCCCGAGTTGGACAGAAAAGTCCATTAATATTATTATTATTTTTATTATTTTATTATTATTATTTTTATTATTATTTTTGACAGTTACTTTTTGCTGATGATACTGTGCTTATGGGAGATTCTAAAGAAAAGTTGCAAAGATTAGTGAACAAGTTTGGGAGAGTGTGTAAAGGTAGAAAGTTGAAAGTGAACATAAAAAAGAGTAAGGTGGTGAGGGTATCAAATGATTTAGATAAAGAAAAATTGGATATCAAATTGGAGAGGAGGGGTATGGAAGAAGTAAATGTTTTCAGATATTTGGGAGTTGACATGTCAGCGGATGGATTTATGAAGCATGAGGTTAATTGATGAAGGGAAAAAAGGCGAGTGGTAAATTGAGGTATATGTGGAGACAAAATACATTACATATGGAGGCAAAGAAGGAAATGTATGAAAGTATAGTGGTACCAACACTCTTATATGGGTGTGAAGCTTGGGTTGTAAATACATACTGCAGCGAGGAGACGGTTGGAGACAGTGGAGATGTCCTGTCTAAGGGCAATGTGTGGTGTAAATATTATGCAGAAAATTTAGAGTGGAAATTAGAAGGTGTGGAGTTAATAAAAGTATTAGAGGGCTGAAGAGGGGTTGTTGAGGTGGTTTGGTCATTTAGAGAGAATGGATCAAAGTAGAATGACATGGAGAGCGTATAAATCTGTAGGGGAAGGAAGGCAGGGTAGGGGTCATCCTCGAAAAGGCTGAAGGGAGGCGGCAAAGGAGGTTTTGTGGGCGAGGGGCTTGGACTTCCAGCAAGCATATGTGAGCGTGTTAGATAGGAGTGAATGGAGACGAATGGTATTTGGGACCTGGCAAGCTGTTGGAGTGTGAGCAGGGTAATATTTAGTGAAGGGATTCAGGGAAACCGGTTATTTTTATATAGCCGGACTTGAGTCCTGGCAATGGGAAGTACTATGTGTGCACTTTAAAGGAGGGGTTGGGATATTGGCAGTTTGGAGGGATATGTTGTATATCTTTATATGCATATGCTTCTAAATTGTTGTGTTCTGGGCACCTCTGCAAAAACAGTTATTATGTATGAGTGAGGTGAAAGTGTTGAATGATGATGAAAGTATTTTCTTTTTGGGTCACCCTGCCTCAGTGGGAGATGGCCGACTTGTTGAAAAAAAAAGATATTATTTTTATTGTAATCAAAAAGAAGCACTTAACCAGTCCATTAATATTAAACTTCTACGATGGCAGGATGAACTCGTAATGCGGTTTCGAGGAAATCTGGTTATTGATGGTGGAAATCCATACGAAGAAGATTCTTGGGCATCCATTGTTGTTGGTGATCTTCATTTCCAGGTATGGTATGAGATAGTTTATTCATAACCAGGAACTACTATCTATCTGTGTGTGTGTGTGTTTCTTTGTTTTTCCATCTCTTCCTGTAACTTTACTATATCTCAATGCACAGCAGCAACATAAGAACAAAAAGAGACAATACCATGACTGGAATAATGCACAAATAACACGCACATTTGAGTTTAAGACAACATTTTTAATTACTGTTTCCATCTAGAGCAAAAAGGAGGACAGTATATTCTTGGCTGGGTAGCAAAATAAATGTTGACTTCATTAATCTTATTTTATTAGAGAAGTTTAGGTTGTAAGTGGATTATTATTATAAAAAGGAAGTGCTGAACCTACAAGGGTCATACAGCACAGCAGGGCAGGAAAGGATGCAAGGGTATTGGGTAGCAAGAGGGAGAGGGATGATTATTAGGTCATGGAGTGCAGCGGGGCAGTGGATAGTGCAAGGGGTAGAGGGTAGCAAGAGATTGAGGTACAAAGGGCTGTGAGGAGTACTAGAGGCATCATCATCGGAGTTTGTGCAGTAAATCAGTTGCTGTCAAAATGTCAGTGAGAGAGTCTGGGTTAAAGGAGGGTCCATCAGCAAGAAGGGAAAGTAAAGTAAGGACAGTAGAGCGGTGGCGACGGAGGTAAATTCTGTGTGCTAGTTGATAGTGAGCAGTCCAACAGAATGTGGCTAACAGAAACTGAAACCTGACAATTCTCAGAATGGAACAGGGCGCCTCTCCATGAGATACCCGTGAGTAAAACAAGTGTGGATGATGCAAAGATGGGAGAGAGTAGTCTCCCAACCTCAACACTGATGATAAGAAGACGGCCAGAAACCTACACTCAGTTTAATAGAATGTAGTTTATTATGGAGCAGATCAGACCAACCTTGTTGCAAACGGGTGCAAAGGTGGGTAGCAATTACAGCTAAATAGTTTGTGAATGGAACACCTCTATATGAAACTGGGAGGTCATGTACTGCTGACCATGCAGCAGTGTCTGCCTGTTCATTGCCCTGTATGTCAACATGACCGAGAACCCAACAGAAAACAATGTCTTTGTGTTTGCTGGAGATACAGCGTAACCAAAGTTGGATACGAAGAACCAGGGGATGAGGTGTATCAAATTTTCATATAGCCTGTAAAGCACTAAGGGAATCTGAAATGACCACAAATGGTGACACAGGCATAGATGCAATACAGATAAGTGCTATGTGATTGGCATACAATTCAACCGTAAGAATGCTAGCTTGGGATGATAAATGCCCTTGCATGGCGCTGTCCAGAAACACTGCTGTGAATCCAACTCCGTTAGAAGACTTGGAACCATAGGTATACACTGCAATGGCATGAGAATGAGATTGGAAGTGGTTAAGAAAAAGAGAATGAGAAGCCACTGAAAAATGCAGAAGGGAAGGAGGGGTGAAAGATTTGAACAATGGGGGTGTTTTGGACTTTGGAGAAGGAGAGGGGCAATGGGGAGTAGGTGTTGTATGAGGCTTGTAGACACAAACTTGTGAGTGAGAAGAGGAAGAGGTGAGAACAGAATGAGGTGCTGAGGTAGGGACCTCTTGAGTCCAGGACAGCAAAAGAATTAGAGACTGGAGACTGTGGAAGGGGTGACCACAGAGGAGGGGGGAAGCTTCCCTTGGAGGCATAGATGAAAGAGTGCCATAGAATATGAGAGGCCTTCTGCCTCTTTGAGACAATGGATTTCACACTCATTTAAGTATACTTGGCAATGGCAAGAGTAAGATGGGTGAGCCTCATGACAATTAAGGCAGGAGGGAGGTAGACTACAAGACGCATTGGTATGGTCGTCAGCACCGCAGATTGGGCATTCAGCCATGCACCTGCAATATTTTGCTGGATGACCAAAACGCCAGCATTTTCTACACTGTTGCGATGTATGGATCACCTTTCAAACTTGTAAATGGTATCCTGCAATATATACAGAGGACGGAAGCTCACGGCAGTCAAAAGTTAAGCGAGCTACATTGCAAGGGTATTGTCTCTGCCTGCAGGCAGGGAGGACATAAGTATCTACTTTGAGTTCCAGCTGTTCCAGAATTTCATTGCCACGTTTGGAAATTGTTGGACAATGATATGGGGCAGAATGACAGTACCACTACATGAATTGAGGGAATGATGTTTTTCAATAGTTACAGGAACAATATCAGTAGTTGTAAGGAGAGAAAGATTGTGAGCTTGGTTAGCATTCTGAACATTGATGATACGTGTACCGCTCTTGAGAGCATGAAAGGATATATCTCTACCAATATGGCGTAGGAGCACCTTGCTAATACTATGGTCGGAAAGATAGGCAGTAGAGGAAGTCGGTCGTAGAGTAAAAAACTTAGTCCATTGTGTTTTTTGAAACATAGCATGTAAAGGGAGTGCATGACGTGCTGGTCGTTTCTGAGAAGAATGAGAAGGAAGCGAAGAGGTAATGGTCTTTGGTGTTTAGGTGTGGGTCCGATATGGCACAGGTGGGGGATTCAAAAATTGCCACACAGTAGAGGGAGAGGCCGGAAGCATAGTCAAAGAGCAGAGGTCAGACGTATCGAAGGAGTCGGTCGAAACCCCGGCACCTGAAGCAGGTGACGAAACAGCACTAGCAAGAGGTATAGGGGCATTAGGAATGTCCAAAGAGTGGTCAAATAATAAGGCAGGATTGGAACACAGTGTGGTATCAGTAAGGAGCCCAGGGAGAGCAGGTTCATGGATTTGGGACTCCGCGGTTGGGGGGGGGGAATGTGGGGGAATAGCTCCTAGGAGGCAAAAAAGGGCCTTAAATCCCCCTCCGCACCCAAGAGGACCCCAGCACCGCAAATAGTGCAGATATAATATGGAACCCATGCCATACCCTACCCTTCAAGCTAGTAAACCAGCAACCTCACGTCCGCCGAGCCACCTTGGTGGACAAGAGAGAGGGCGGCCAGACACCCGCCACAAAGCATACCTCCTTTGGCCACCACCCCCAGGAATCCAACAGGCAGCCTCCAGAGATGCACCCCTCACCCAAAAGACACCCAGAGCCACCCCCCAGGAGACAGGAGAGGGATCAGGACAGATTCCATGGCAAACTACACCACTGCCAAGGACCTCAACGGAATGGGATGGACCCCGGTACCCTTCCCCCTACCTAGGAACTAGAGTGCCTGTGGGAAGAATCCCAAAGGCTGAAAATAGGAAGGGAATAGGGGAGGGATGGGGAGGAGGAGGAAAAGGAAAAAGGGAGGATGGGATAGGGAAGGGGGGATTGGGGGTAATTAGGTGGAGTTGAGAGTTAGTGTAGCCATAAAATTAACATCATAGTGCAGTAGATTAGTTTGTTAGTTATCATTGGAGTCAGCATCAAATGTGGGACTTTTTGGGCAATGGGAAGAGGTTAGCTAGTGTGTCAAGGCATTGAAAGTGTCGTTAATGAATTCTGCATACTCTGATAAACAGGGCAGTCCATTAATGATTTGTTCGATTCCATGCAGAGAGGCACTCTGCATGTTTCCTTATGGTATTTACAAGTCAGTGTGACCCTCCCAGAGAAAATGGAGTCATGAAGAGGGTCTAATAATCATAAAAGAACATATCTAGAGATAGGAATTCCAATCATATTTTGTAGTTTAGGTTCATGAAGACAAATGCATACAGGAAAAAAACTGGGAAACCAGAACATGGAGCTCTCCCCAATTCTCCCTGTATCCTCTGATATTCCACTAACACTGACATTTACTTATTAATATGTTGGTAGAGGAAAGTAAGTGGTGGTTATGGACTGGAGCAGTCTGTAAAGTTGACAGTGGTACAGGCATTGAAGTAACAAGAATTTGTCTGGTGGCATTTTAAATGTCATGAGAAGTAGCATCCATGCAAGTTGCAAGTGTAGGTGGTAAAACATTAATAGTATATGGGATGAATCATGAGGCATGGATTGCTAATGTTAGTGTAGTATGGTGTTGTTAGTCATGCAATGACTGACAAACAATAACACACACACATACATGGGGGGGGGGGGGAGGAAGCCATAGACCTCACCTCCCCATGCATTCTTTAGAAACAGACAATGAGGTCAGTGTAGAGTGTAATTCCCCCCCCCCCCCCCATGTGCCTTTGAGTGCAGTTCATAGGAAAGGTGGATAGGAAAAAGAATCCTGCGAGGTTAGCTACTAAAAATGGCCCATTTTAAACAAATTCTTTAGTATAAATTTTGTAAATTTCCAATAGATACAGGGTGGATGTAGACGGTGTCAGATGGTGTGTGTCGTCCCAGATACCTGTGAACGCACCAGAGAACCACTTTTAACACTGGTAGCTACCAGAGGTTCATCTATGAAGTTTGGTGTCCATGCCAAAGCTATCATTCCAGGGGAATGCACAGAAAATGCAGCACTGACTGTGACTGTTGGCATACCAGTTGAGAGTACTAGCAATAACGAAGTCCAAAATTTGTGTTTGTGATTATGGCAAGATATACTACTGGCAGGTATGACAATAAAAACATTAAAACCAGAGTAGGCCACATTTTACATTTACTGATAATTAGAAGGGGGTGAAGTACATAGATTAAACCCTATTGTCTCCTATTCCCTAAGGGGACGATAAAGCCATATCCTTGAATCAAGGTCCTTGCTGGCATCAAGGCACATTTGGCAAGTGTAATTGTTAAAAACAAAAAAAATATTACCTGCACTTAGAATTTTTCTAAATTTAATACTGGCTATATTGTATTGCAATTGTTTTCACTTTACACCACATTCGGTATCAAATTATCAGTATCACGTTACATTAGAACCTGATTTATCATTTCTGTACCATAGAGGCATATTTTCTATACCAGTGAGGTACTCTTGATTCAAGGAACTGGACTTGACCTCCCTTTCCTTAGGTCAAACCTGATTTCCTCTGGCAATGTACGATCCATATAGATTTTGTGCTGTCCTCGTAAATGTACAGGTCTCCCTCAACATTCACGTTTTCAACTTTCACGGGCTTCACACATTCGCGAATTCCCAACCGCCAAATTCCCAGCCGCCAAATCATATTTAAGTTTCCCGCCACCTGTGAGTCCCTACTACCCTCCCTCCGAACCCCGCAACTGGCAGCCAGCCCTCCCACCACTCAGTGTGGCGAGTGTTTTGTTTGTTCATTATTTGCTATTAAACTACAGTATAAATAATGTAAACCCATTCATGACTACATATTGGAATGGCTATTAGGAAAGGTATTAGACGGTGACATCATGTGTTTACTCTTGAACACTGCAAAGAATTAAACATTTCTGCTACAGCTAATAATAACAATAGTAATAATAATAATAAATATGATATACGTAATTGAAAAAGGAAATTGTACAAAAATATGAGGGAGTGGTTGACACATCGTCAGTGTGACTTTGTTTATGCTGGAGTGAACATTAGTCTCCCTGCTCTTCCAAACATTTCACAATAATTCATTGTGTTTGGTGCTTGTAGATTGAGTGTGACTGGAGTGGTAGAGGCAGTGATTGAGGCAATGGTATTTAATAACATACATGTTATTAATAATGTACTATTATTATTTATAGCATATGTTATTAAATACATACATGTTAATAATAATACATGTTATTAATAATAACATGTACTATTATTATTTATAACATATATGTTATTAAATACCACTGCCTCAACTGCTGAATTATTGTGAAATGTTTGGAAGAGCAGGGAGACTATGTTCACTCCAGCATAAACAAAGTCACACTGACGATGTGTCAACCACTCCCTCGTATTTTTGTACAATTTCCTTCTTCAATTATATATTTATTATTATTATTATTATTATTATTAGTTATTATTATTACTATTGTTATTATTACTATTGTTATTATTATTACTATTGTTATTATTATTACTATTATTATTATTACTATTGTTATTATTACTATTGTTATTATTATTACTATTGTTATTATTATTACTATTGTTATTATTATTACTATTGTTATTATTAGCAATAGCAGAAATGTTCGATTCTTTGCAGTGTTCAAGAGTAAACACATGATGTCACTGTCTAATACCTTTCCTAATAGCCATTCCAATATGCAGTCATGAATGGGTTTACATTATTTATACTGTAGTTTAATAGCAAATAATGAACAAACAAAACACTCACCACACTGAGTGGTGGGAGGGCTGGCTGCCAGTTGCGGGGATCGGAGGGAGGGTAGTAGGGACTCACAGTGGTGGAGTCTGTGGTATTTAATAACATACATGTTATTAACATGTATGTTATTAAATAACATGTTATTAAAGCATAACATGTATATATTTAGTACAATTTACGAAGTTTTCATGTATTTTACGATTATTCATGGTTCAACAAGTTAAGGAAGCAGTATTGTAATATATTTCCCTACAATATATTGGGGCACCAAACATTCACAGTTTTTCAACATTCGCGAGGCTCTTGATCCCCTAACCCTCGCGAATGTTGAGGGAGACCTGTATTAGTAATACACAGTACACATTTTCCCTTGCTTTATGCAGGTTTACTTTGTGAATTCCATATTATGCAATGTGCCATTTCTATCAGTAATTCTATGCAAGATATGCATTCACTGATCAGCTCAGTTTGTAAAATGCACAGACTTTAGTGCATTTAAGTTTTAATGGCTTGGGCCTGAAACTACCCTGCATAAATTGTGACACCTGTACTGTAATTTTAGAATTTTAGGTACATTTGTTTACCAGTATATTCAGCAAGAGTACAGTTCAGGTTCAGTACAAAATGCATAGGATATATTAACTTTCTTTTATACAATGTTTATTGTGACAAATTTACATTACATGTGATTATTTACAGTTTCTTGACAGCAGAACAATTTTGATAGTCATCAAATGTCAGACCAATAAGTATCTTATAAATAAAACTTTACCTTGTATCAAATACAGTATGTAACCTTTAACCCATTCCATTTAAAGGCTGAACCAGTCATTTCAACATCTTTTATGCCTATACCAAATAGATAAACTACGAAGTTTTTTTTTTTTAAGCCTTAAAATTAACATCGTTTTTTCTCCATATTAATCTTACACACTTGGCAATTGGCCCATTTCATCAAAAATCATTACCCAAGCGGAAAGGGCTAAAGAGAAATGTACGTATAAAAGAATCATTCTCTGAACCATAAGTACTGCACTAAATGTCAGTAATCTTTCTTTTAACAAATAATGTTCCAAGATTTGTTACAATAGTATTTTAAAGCAACTTATTGACAAACATTTCAAAACTGTATCTGGTGTACTGTTTTAGGGACAACACCCCTAGGAAGGTTCCTCAATGGGAGCTCTTGATCAAAAATTTTACCTGACCATATTACCCCCCTCCCCTCTCCAGGAGCTGCATGATCCCCGTGGATTTAGTGCTTCTCCCATCCCCCCCTCCCCACAAACTTCCCATGAATGTAAAAACAGGAACAACAAAACTACATGTAAAGCTTGTGCTCAGATACATTTAGTATAAATTTATCTGATTTATGAAGTGGATCTCTGAAAAATAATGTCCACATTCAGGCAAACTAAACACCCATGATGCAATACTGCCAACATTTCTACATTCAGCTTCATTTACATCAATGATTTTAATGGCATTTATACTAAGTTGTGGACGATTATACAACAAATGAAAGCAAGGTCGAGGAGCTACATAAAATTTTAATTTTATTAGTTTATTGGGCTGTACCATCGTAGAATAGGACCACAATTTGATTTAAGTTTATGCATCTTGCTGCAACAAAGAATTATACTGTTAGTTTTAAAATCATCCAACTTAAAATTTGCTAGGCATCATGTGAAGACCTATTTTTATTTAGTTATACCCACAAGAATAAATTATTTAAAGTATAGTAATAAAAAATCCATTTAGCCTATACCAACTAACATGGCACAGTTTGGTAAAAATGCCTTCCACAATTTTGATGAATATCAATGCCCTAGCACTGACGTTTAACTCTTCAAGGAAATAAAGTGGCAAGAATTAATAGGTATTATATTTGTGCTATTATGTAATTAATTCCAAGTCACTAAATTCCTCAATTTCATTCACACACTTGAGGCTAAATTATAAAATCTCAGTATAAAATAATACTAAATTTTTGGTAACAAAAGACCATTTTTCAGCGTCTAGGGTTGTGATTTTATCACACGATACATACATATTCATTTAACTCCTGTTTGAAGTTAGTAACTGAACTGTCAATACATGTTTTAGTACAAACTTGTGTTCTCAAAATTTAGCATCAATACTAACTGCCAAATTCTTTCTATCAGTCAAATTACTATCATTAAATTTTGAAGTATGGATGACAAATTATTAATGAATTAAGAACTTTCTATCTGAATTTAAGCAACAAAAAAAAAAAAAATAGACTAATTACATAATATTCAATAAGACACTGCTACTTGTGTTCTCTATTCCTCTCCATATTAAATGCATTACTATATTTGCATCCCACTCCTATGCCTTAAACAAGCCTTCAACTGATCAATATGGACTAAAGTGATATGCAAAGAACAATGTTTACAATAAAGGCAACATTTAATAGCAACATGACAAATTTGCAATTAACACTACCTTTTTAAGTATACAAATAAATACAGGTTTATTTATAACAATTACAAAACCAAAAAATTGGCCAGGCATATTAAATTATGGGGAATCGAATACGAAATGAGAGTTGCTGATGATACTGTGCTTTTGGGGGATTCTAAAGAAAAATTGCAGAGGTTAGTGGACGAGTTTGGGAGGGTGTGAAAAGGCAAAGTTGAAAGTGAGTATAGATAAGAGTAAGGTGATGAGAGTATCAAACGATTTAGATAAAGAAAAACTGGATATCACACTGGAGGGAGGGAGTATGGAAAAAGTGAATGTTTTCATTTGGGAGTTGACTTGTCAGTGGATGGGTTTATGAAGGATGAAGTAAACCACAGAATTGATGAAGGAAAAAAGGTGAATGGTGCATTGAGGTATCTGTAGAGACAAAGAAAGTTACCTATGGGGTAAAGAAGGGACTATGAGTGTATAGTGGTACCAACTCTTATATGGGTGTGAAATATGGGTTGTAAATGCTGCAGCGAGGAGGCGGCTAGAGGCAGTGATGTTGTGTTTAGGGGCAATGCACATTGTAAATATGCAGAGAATTTATAATGTGGAAATTTGGAATTGTGGAGTTACTAAAACTATTAGTCAGAGGGTTGTTGAGGTGGTTTGGTCATTTAGAGAGAATGGAACAAAGTAGAATGACTTGGAGAATGTATAAACCTATTGGGGAAGGAAGGCAGGGTAGGGGTTGTCCCTGAAAAGGTTGGAGGGAGGGGGCACAGGAGGTTTTGTGGGCGAGGGGCTTGGACTTCCAGCAAGAGTGCGTGAGCGTGTTATATAGTGAATCTAGACGAATGTTTTTTGGGACCTGACGAGCTGTTGGAGTGTGAGCAAGGTAATGTTTTGTGAAGGGATTCAGGGAAACCGGTTAGCCGGACTCGAGTCTTGGAAATGGAAAGTACAATGCCTGCACTTTCAAGGAGGGGTTTAGGATATTGGCAGTTTGGAGGGATGTCTAAACTGTCATATCCGAGTGCCTCTGCAAAGACAGTGATTATGTATGAGTGATGGATATGTGTAAATGTTTAAGGGTTCCTAATGGTAAAATTAAATAACTAAATTTAGTATACATATTTTAGCAATCCAAATATGCAACTGGATGGAGCTCATACTTCGTAACCACAATTTTGATGGCATTCACAGCAATAATAATGCAATAATTACACATAATTTAAGAACAGTTTACATATGAATAAATCATAAAAGTCAAAATGGATGATGACCTATTGGGTTTAGTACTTAGATTTATAATAAACTGAATAATAAATTTTTTTTTATAATTAAAAATGGGTTATGCCTTCATGTAGGTGTCTACACTGACAATTTTTTCATTCAATCCATGGTGGTGTTGCATTTACAATATAAAATGTGTCTACATAAAACAAACCAAGGAATCAAAGCAGCTTCAGAATTTAGAAAGCTAACTGTATGCTTTACCGACAGTATCTATGTTCCATACACATTTAATATGTGCCTGAATTTTTTTTTTTTTTTAATCTTCTATTGCCACTACAAATTCACTCGTTTAACCCAGAAAACATGTTAAATGGAATATTATGCAAGTGGGGAGGGGGAAAAATGGAAGGGGGGGGTTGTATTACATTCATATAAAACACTGAACTCGCGAGGGTCTTTCAACGCTGCATGGTAAAAGGGAATGGAGGCTGAAATTAGAAATAGGCAATAAACCAGCTATTATGCAATCAGAGAATAAACATTAAAGGTGGGACTTTCAGAAAAGAGGGCAGACAGTAAGAATGTTATGGCACTAAAGGAAAGGTTGAAAATGAAGTCAGTGCTCCCTGATAAATGAGGTAATCTATAGCTGTTAACTTGGAACTGACTGACAATTCCTGCAGATGACCATGTTAATCTGGCACGACCTATGTTCAATTTGTAAATACAATTTCCTTAACTGACAGTTACAAAGATGGAGCTATAGAAGAGACAGCAATGAAGGAAAACAAAGGGAAAGACAAGAAACGGGAAAGAGCTCACAAGTCATAGTGCCACTCAACTCTCCCATGTGCAGATTAGGTTAGCACCAAGAAATGCTAGTCTAGGTTGAATTTTACTGTCTCAATTTTTTTTAACACTCCTTAAGTCAGGTCAAAAACTACTAACAATTTTTAATGCTATAACAAAATACTGTGCCTGGAGACACTATAATCAAATACAGGTTCTAGGTGATGGCCTTGAAAAGTTTTTATTACACATCTGATATGAAAAAATATGCCTGACAAAACTGTATAAATACAATGAAGCAGCCTCATGGTTTATACAACACTACTGTACTGCAGACACTGGCATTCTTTACTTCAGAATCAAATATCAAATGTTCTAAGGCTATGGTATGGAATAGAATAACCTATGGACAGTTCATTTGTGCCTTAATGACTGAGCAATATCTGCCTCCAATTCCCCGCATAAGTGTCACTACCAGTTACTGAGCTAGCGAGTTTCGTGGACCAAATGTTGGAACACTTGCAACACCCATTACCACATATAATACACTGAGGAAACCACACAAAGTCTATCTTTGTGATTCAGCAAGGACTAGAAATGTACAAATATTTGCCAAAGCTATCATTAAACTGTACACTTTCTAACACCCACTTAACACTGAGGCTGGAATGTTTCATGGAGTTAAGTATGACCAAATTCTGAATTAATCCTTTCATGCAGTTCTAAATGCAGACTGTATCATGTGTAAACTGACAGGAACTGATTTATCCTGCCCCACACAATATGTAATGAAATTTCTTTAATGACATCAGCAACTTTTAGTCCATAATAATTGAGCATTATAGTTTATGCTTGCAAAATACTACTTTTTTTTTTTTAAATTCTGCTTGGGAAAAAAAGCAAATAACTTTGAATTTTTGGTGCAGTCTTCATATATTCATAATAACTACTAATTTTTTCAAAAAATTAATTAAAATGTTTTAACAGTGAATCACACTTTTCCTCTATCAAGTGGTTACAATAATAAGGGATCACCCTACTTTAAAACTGCTTGCAAGCTAATGGGTATCCCTATATAAGATTGCAAGTCTTACATAATTCAAGTAGATGACAGTTGCAACACTGCAAATTTACGCTGAAAGTCATACTCCCATGATAATGGAAGTCGTGCATAATGGAAAATATAGTTGCATAGTTCAGACAAAGAAAGAATACATTATGTGTAAACAAACAGCTTTACTTCTCAACAAAAATTCACTTTCATATTTGCATTCAAGTAGTGCTCTGTCCCATGTGGGTTAATGTTTTCTGGTCAATACAATAATCACATTCAGGTATTGAATTTACAGAACATGTTATATTATCTAGAAAACAACAGTATACTTGAAAAAATGTAATGAAAGATTTTTCCCAGATCTCTCACATAAAAGTTGCAGTAATGCACAACAAAACTAACTGTACCTTAAAATAATTATTCTTCATTATATACGATGGTAATTTTGAAATGAGAACTGTTTCCAGCTTGAGTTTAAAAACTGTTCAGTGTCCTTAACAGCTACTGTACCTACAACAAAAATATTTCTTACAAAAACACACCATAAATTATTGTATGTAATCCTTTGTTAAACCAATGTGTTAATGAGAGAAAGCTTTCTAGAAAACAATTAGAGAAAAAAAAAAGCTGCTGAGAATATAGAATTTTCTAATTAAGGTAATAAAAATATTCCAGAATTTATATCCAGTCCTTAGGATGCCAAAACAATTTTATGCAGCAAATGAAATATAAAATAACATACAAGACAGTGGTGTGAAATTTACCTGTGTAATGGATGAAGGAAGCATCTTGCTTCATTTCCCTCAAGTGACTTTGAAGTCTAGTACTGTGGTGTCTATCATGGTAAAAAGGAAGTCTTGCTTCTAATTTCTGTATATTTAAAACAATACTATATTCCCTTTGTGCTTATTATACTATAAAGTAAAGCTTCCCTTCTGGGATATCACACAATCTGTCACTGTTTTCTTATCTTACCAATCAGTCAATATAAAGGAAGAATACAATTATCACAGACTCACTAACTCTCCAGCTTGGGAAAGGATTCACACCTTACAGGTCTGTCAAAATTCCTTGATTTGCCTTCTGCACTGGATGCTCGACGTTTACTGTGGCTACTTTTACTCTTTTTCTGACTCTTGCTTTGGTGAACTGAAGGTAATACGGAAGAGCTACTACCACAAAGAACACTTCTGTGTAAAGATCTTGTGCAAGGATTTTTCAACAAGTTTATGGCCTTTTCTCTATCTGCATGTATTTCTGCGACAGGAATTCCACTGTGAAAATTTACACGATTTTCCTCATACCCATAAGGGTAACCCGAAGTGTCTTCATCTTGATCATCATCATCTAATGTAAGGGTTATATGGTCACTGGTCTCATGATTGTCTCCTACAAAGGTAACGCCTTTACTTGATGAACTGTGGCGCCTGGAAAACTGCCTTGCTGTTATTATGGCACTAACACTGTCTAATCGCAAATCTGCAGAACCTTGATCATGGGTGGCATCACTTGCCAATACAGCAGAATTATCGTCACTTGCCGAGGGTGGGATGGAGTGAATGTAAAGGTTGGTTATATGTGGACTAATGCCAACACCTTCCTCTAGCACTCCACTAGCACTATCCCCACCAATTACTAGATGATCTTCTGCCTCAGACTCTGAAACCTGTGAAAATGAAACATAGTGACAAATCAATACACAACTAGATTAAAATTTCATATAGAAAATTTAACTTGAAATGAGAAACTTTGGACTTTGATTAGAATAGAGTATTTTTTTTTTTTTTAACAAGTCGGCCGTCTCCCCCACATGGCAGGGTGACCCAAAAGAAAATCTCCAAAAAAGAAAATACTTCCATCATCATTCAACACTTTCACCTCACTCACACATAATCACTGTTTTTGCAGAGGTGCTCAGAACACAACAGTTTAGAAGCATATACATATAAAGATACACAACATATCCCTCCAAACTGCCAATATCCCAAACCCCTCCTTTAGAGTGCAGGCATTGTACTTCCCATTGCCAGGACTCAAGTTCGGCTATATAAAAACAACCGGTTTCCCTGAATCCCTTCACTAAATATTACCCTGCTTACACTCCAACAGATCGTCAGGTCCCAAATACCATTTGTCTCCATTCACTCCTATCGAACACGCTCACGCACGCCTGCTGGAAGTCCAAGCCCCCTCAGTCACAAAACCTCCCTTACCCCTTCCTTCCAACCTTTCCAAGGATGACCCCTACCCCGCCTTCCTTCCCCTACAGATTTAAACGCTCTCCATGTCATTCTACTTTGATCCATTCTCTCTAAATGACCAAATCACCTCAACAACCCCTCTTCAGCCCTCTGACTAATACTTTTATTAACTAAACACCTTCTCCTAATTTCCACACTTCTAATTTTCTGCATAATATTTACACCACACACATTGCCCTTAGACAGGACATCTCCACTGCCTTCAACCGCATCCTCGCTGCTGCATTCACAACCTAAGCTTCACACCCATATAAGAGTGTTGGTACTACTATACGTACTTTCATACATTCCCTTCTTTGCCTCCATAGATAACGTTTTTTGTCTCCACATATACTTCAATGCAAATGAGAGAGTGGGTGAGCTGTTATCAACAAATTTTGTTGAAAATAAGAAAAAGTTTTGGAGTGAGATTAACAAGTTAAGGAAGCCTAGAGAACAAATGGATTTGTCAGTTAAAAATAGGAGAGGAGAGTTATTAAATGGAGAGTTAGAGGTATTGGGAAGATGGAGGGAATATTTTGAGGAATTGTTAAATGTTGATGAAGATAGGGAAGCTGTGATTTCGTGTATAGGGCAAGGAGGAATAACATCTTGTAGGAGTGAGGAAGAGCCAGTTGTGAGTGTGGGGGAAGTTCGTGAGGCAGTAGGTAAAATGAAAGGGGGTAAGGCAGCCGGGATTGATGGGATAAAGATAGAAATGTTAAAAGCAGGTGGGGATATAGTTTTGGAGTGGTTGGTGCAATTATTTAATAAATGTATGGAAGAGGGTAAGGTACCTAGGGATTGGCAGAGAGCATGCATAGTTCCTTTGTATAAAGGCAAAGGGGATAAAAGAGAGTGCAAAAATTATAGGGGGATAAGTCTGTTGACTGTGAAACAAAAACCTGTAACTGTTTTGCATGATGGTAGGATTGCTGGTTTCTTTTTCGGTCTCATAAACACGCTAAGATAACAGGGATATCTTGCTACTCCTACTTACACTTTGGTCACACTTCACAGACACGCACATGCATATATATATATACATACATCTGAAGGGATTCAGGGAAACCGGCAGGCCGGACTCGAGTCCTGGAGATGGGAAGTACAGTGCCTGCACTCTGAAGGAGGGGTGTTAATGTTGCAGTTTAAAAACTGTAGTGTAAAGCACCCTTCTGGCAAGACAGTGATGGAGTGAATGATGGTGAAAGTTTTTCTTTTTCGGGCCACCCTGCCTTGGTGGGAATCGGCCAGTGTGATAATAAAAAAAAAAAAAAATAAAAAAATCTAGGTTTTTCTCCTTTTTCTAAATAGCTCTTGTTCTTTTTTATTTCTTCTATTGTCCATGGGGAAGTGGAAAAGAATCTTTCCTCCGTAAGCCATGCGTGTCGTATGAGGCGACTAAAATGCCGGGAGCAATGGGCTAGTAACCCCTTCTCCTGTATACAATTACTAAAAAAGAGAAGAAGAAAAACTTTATAAAACTGGGTTGCTTAAATGTGCGTGGATGTAGTGCGGATGACAAGAAACAGATGATTGCTGATGTTATGAATGAAAAGAAGTTGGATGTCCTGGCCCTAAGCGAAACAAAGCTGAAGGGGGTAGGAGAGTTTCAGTGGGGGGAAATAAATGGGATTAAATCTGGAGTATCTGAGAGAGTTAGAGCAAAGGAAGGGGTAGCAGTAATGTTAAATGATCAGTTATGGAAGGAGAAAAGAGAATATGAATGTGTAAATTCAAGAATTATGTGGATTAAAGTAAAGGTTGGATGCGAGAAGTGGGTCATAATAAGCGTGTATGCACCTGGAGAAGAGAGGAATGCAGAGGAGAGAGAGAGATTTTGGGAGATGTTAAGTGAATGTATAGGAGCCTTTGAACCAAGTGAGAGAGTAATTGTGGTAGGGGACTTGAATGCTAAAGTAGGAGAAACTTTTAGAGAGGGTGTGGTAGGTAAGTTTGGGGTGCCAGGTGTAAATGATAATGGGAGCCCTTTGATTGAACTTTGTATAGAAAGGGGTTTAGTTATAGGTAATACATATTTTAAGAAAAAGAGGATAAATAAGTATACACGATATGATGTAGGGCGAAATGACAGTAGTTTGTTGGATTATGTATTGGTAGATAAAAGACTGTTGAGTAGACTTCAGGATGTACATGTTTATAGAGGGGCCACAGATATATCAGATCACTTTCTAGTTGTAGCTACACTGAGAGTAAAAGGTAGATGGGATACAAGGAGAATAGAAGCATCAGGGAAGAGAGAGGTGAAGGTTTATAAACTAAAAGAGGAGGCAGTTAGGGTAAGATATAAACAGCTATTGGAGGATAGATGGGCTAATGAGAGCATAGGCAATGGGGTCGAAGAGGTATGGGGTAGGTTTAAAAATGTAGTGTTAGAGTGTTCAGCAGAAGTTTGTGGTTACAGGAAAGTGGGTGCAGGAGGGAAGAGGAGCGATTGGTGGAATGATGATGTAAAGAGAGTAGTAAGGGAGAAAAAGTTAGCATATGAGAAGTTTTTACAAAGTAGAAGTGATGCAAGGAGGGAAGAGTATATGGAGAAAAAGAGAGAAGTTAAGAGAGTGGTGAAGCAATGTAAAAAGAGAGCAAATGAGAGAGTGGGTGAGATGTTATCAACAAATTTTGTTGAAAATAAGAAAAAGTTTTGGAGTGAGATTAACAAGTTAAGAAAGCCTAGAGAACAAATGGATTTGTCAGTTAAAAATAGGAGAGGAGAGTTATTAAATGGAGAGTTAGAGGTATTGGGAAGATGGAAGGAATATTTTGAGGAATTGTTAAATGTTGTTGAAGATAGGGAAGCTGTGATTTCGTGTATAGGGCAAGGAGGAATAACATCTTGTAGGAGTGAGGAAGAGCCAGTTGTGAGTGTGGGGGAAGTTCGTGAGGCAGTAGGTAAAATGAAAGGGGGTAAGGCAGCCGGGATTGATGGGATAAAGATAGAAATGTTAAAAGCAGGTGGGGATATAGTTTTGGAGTGGTTGGTGCAATTATTTAATAAATGTATGGAAGAGGGTAAGGTACCTAGGGATTGGCAGAGAGCATGCATAGTTCCTTTGTATAAAGGCAAAGGGGATAAAAGAGAGTGCAAAAATTATAGGGGGATAAGTCTGTTGAGTGTACCTGGTAAAGTGTATGGTAGAGTTATAATTGAAAGAATTAAGAGTAAGACGGAGAATAGGATAGCAGATGAACAAGGAGGCTTTAGGAAAGGTAGGGGGTGTGTGGACCAGGTGTTTACAGTGAAACATGTAAGTGAACAGTATTTAGATAAGGCTAAAGAGGTCTTTGTGGCATTTATGGATTTGGAAAAGGCGTATGACAGGGTGGATAGGGGGGCAATGTGGCAGATGTTGCAAGTGTATGGTGTAGGAGGTAGGTTACTGAAAGCAGTGAAGAGTTTTTACGAGGATAGTGAGGCTCAAGTTAGAGTATGTAGAAAAGAGGGAAATTTTTTCCCAGTAAAAGTAGGCCTTAGACAAGGATGTGTGATGTCACCGTGGTTGTTTAATATATTTATAGATGGGGTTGTAAGAGAAGTAAATGCGAGGGTCTTGGCAAGAGGCGTGGAGTTAAAAGATAAAGAATCACACACAGGGTGGGAGTTGTCACAGCTGCTCTTTGCTGATGACACTGTGCTCTTGGAGATTCTGAAGAGAAGCTGCAGAGATTGGTGGATGAATTTGGTAGGGTGTGCAAAAGAAGAAAATTAAAGGTGAATACAGGAAAGAGTAAGGTTATGAGGATAACAAAAAGATTAGGTGATGAAAGATTGAATATCAGATTGGAGGGAGAGAGTATGGAGGAGGTGAACGTATTCAGATATTTGGGAGTGGACGTGTCAGCGGATGGGTCTATGAAAGATGAGGTGAATCATAGAATTGATGAGGGAAAAGAGTGAGTGGTGCACTTAGGAGTCTGTGGGGACAGAGAACTTTGTCCTTGGAGGCAAAGAGGGGAATGTATGAGAGTATAGTTTTACCAACGCTCTTATATGGGTGTGAAGCATGGGTGATGAATGTTGCAGCGAGGAGAAGGCTGGAGGCAGTGGAGATGTCATGTCTGAGGGCAATGTGTGGTGTGAATATAATGCAGAGAATTCGTAGTTTGGAAGTTAGGAGGAGGTGCGGGATTACCAAAACTGTTGTCCAGAGGGCTGAGGAAGGGTTGTTGAGGTGGTTCGGACATGTAGAGAGAATGGAGCGAAACAGAATAACTTCAAGAGTGTATCAGTCTGTAGTGGAAGGAAGGCGGGGTAGGGGTCGGCCTAGGAAGGGTTGGAGGGAGGGGGTAAAGAAGGTTTTGTGTGCGAGGGGCTTGGACTTCCAGCAGGCATGCGTGAGCGTGTTTGATAGGAGTGAATGGAGACAAATGGTTTTTAATACTTGACGTGCTGTTGGAGTGTGAGCAAAGTAACATTTATGAAGGGATTCAGGGAAACCGGCAGGCCGGACTTGAGTCCTGGAGATGGGAAGTACAGTGCCTGCACTCTGAAGGAGGGGTGTTAATGTTGCAGTTTAAAAACTGTAGTGTAAAGCACCCTTCTGGCAAGACAGTGATGGAGTGAATGATGGTGAAAGTTTTTCTTTTTCGGGCCACCCTGCCTTGGTGGGAATCGGCCAGTGTGATAATAAAAAAAATATACTTCAATGCACCACTCACCTTTTTTCCCTCATCAATTCTAAGATTAACCTCATCCTTCATAAATTCATCCACTCAGGTTAGGGTGTGTAGAAGAGAGGGAGACTACTTCCCAGTAAAAGTAGGTCTTAGACAGGGATGTGTAATGTCACCATGGTTGTTTAACATATTTATAGATGGGGTTGTAAAAGAAGTAAATGCTAGGGTGTTTGGGAGAGGGGTGGGATTAAATCATGGGGAATCAAATACAAAATGGGAATTGAAACAGTTGCTTTTTGCTGATGATACTATGCTTATGGGAGATTCTAAAGAAAAATTGCAAAGGTTAGTGGATGAGTTTGGGAGTGTGTGTCAAGGTAGAAAGTTGAAAGTGAACATAGAAAAGAGTACGGTGATGAGGGTATCAAATGATTTAGATAAAGAAAAATTGGATATCAAATTGGGGAGGAGGAGTATGGAAGAAGTAAGTGTTTTCAGATATTTGGGAGTTGACGTGTCGACGGATGGATTTATGAAGGATGAGGTTAATCATAGAATTGATGAGGGAAAAAAGGCAAGTGGTGCGTTGGGGTATATGTGGAGACAAAAAACGTTATCTATGGAGGCAAAGATGGGAGTGTATGAAAGTACAGTAGTACCAACACTCTCATATGGGTGTGAAGCTTGGGTTGTGAATGCAGCAGCAAGGAGGCGGCTGGAGGCAGTGGAGATGTCCTGTCTAAGGGCAATGTGTGGTGTAAATATTATGCAGAAAATTTGGAGTGTGGAAATTAGGAGAAGGTGTGGAGTTAATAAAAGTATTAGTCAGAGGGCTGAAGAGGGGTTGTTGAGGTGGTTTGGTCATTTAGAGAGAATGGATCAAAGTAGAATGATGTGGAGAGCATTTAAATCTGTAGGGGAAGGAAGACGGGGTAGGGGCCGTCCTTGAAAAGGTTGGAAGGAAGGGGTAAGGGAGGTTTTGCGACTGAGGGGGCTTGGACTTCCAGCAGGCGTGCGTGAGCGTGTTCGATAGGAGTGAACGGAGACGAATGGTATTTGGGACCTGACGATCTGTTGGAGTGTGAGCAGGGTAATATTTAGTGAAGGGATTCAGGAAAACCTGTTATTTTTATATAGCCGAACTTGAGTCCTGGCAATGGGAAGTACAATGCCTGCACTCTAAAGGAGGGGTTCAGGATATTGGCAGTTTGGAGGGATATGTTGTGTATCTTTATACGTATATGCTTTTAAGCTGTCGTGTTCTGAGCACCTCTGCAAAAACAGTGATTATGTGTGAGTGAGGTGAAAGAGTTGATTGATGATGAAAGTATTTTCTTTTTGGGGATTTTCTTTCTTTTTGGGTCACCCTGCCTTGGTGGGAGATGGCCGACTTGTTAAAAAAAAATATACAGTGGACCCCCGCATAACGATTTTAATCCGTGCAAGAGGGGTAATTGTTATGCGAAATAATCGGTATGCGAATGAATTTTCCCCATAAGAAATAATGGAAATCAAATTAATCCGTGCAAGACACCCAAAAGTATGAAAAAAAAATTTTTACCACATGAAATATACATTTTCCTATACACAAAGAGAAGGATACATGCACAATAGTAGAGTAGTACATGCACAGTATATATTGTGCATGTACTAGTCTACTAAATGAAGAATAAATGACACTTACCTTTATTGAAGATGCAGCAATGACTGATGAGACACTGTGTCCTGGGAGTGCCTTTTCCTCCTGAGTACTGTAGGTCCTGTTTGGCATTTTCTTCCAGAACATGCCTTATCACACTGTGTATGCCACTACGATTCTTAAATCTCTCAAACCAACCTTTGCTGGCTTTAAATTCACCAATATGAGCACTAGTTCCAGGCATTTTTCCCTGTTCACCTGGGTGTTAGTGTGGGTTGCATCCTGGGAGACAAGATTAAGGACCCCAATGGAAATAAGTTAGACAGTCTTCGATGACACTGACTTTTTTGGGTTATCCTGGGTGGCAAATCCTCTGGGGTTAACTGTTTCTTGGTATTCTCAATAAGCCACACCAACAACGGTGCTACAGCAGCAGCAGCAGCAGCTGACGGTGGTACAGCAGCAACAGACGATGCTACAGCAGTAACAGACGATGTTACAGCAGCAGCAGCAGCTAACGGTGGTACAGCAGCAACAGACAATGCTACAGCAGCAGCAGACGATGCTACAGCAGCAGCAGACGATGCTACAGCAGCAGCAGCAGCTGACGGTGGTACAGCAGCAACAGACGATGCTACAGCAGCAGCAGACGATGCTACAGCAGCAGCAGCAGCTGACGGTGGTACAGCAGCAGCAGACGATGCTACAGCAGCAACAGACGATGTTACAGCAGCAGCAGACGATGCTACAGCAGCAGCAGCAGCTGACAGTGCAGCAGCAGCAGCAGCTGTACCACCAATAGTAGCGATGGTTGATTGGGGTTTATTATACAACCTGGCCAGCTCGGGAGACACGCACTCCACTTTCATACTTATCAATGATCTTTTTCTTCATCTCTATTGTAATTCTCACCCTTATTGCTGTAGGGTTGGCACTAGAAGCTTTCTTGCGGCCCATGGTCACTTATTTTCCAGAAAAAGCACCGAAAACACTGTAATAATACGAAATATTCCGATTGTATGCTTGGATGTTACCGCGGAGGCTGGCTGGTAAACAATGCCACCGGCGGAACATGTGAGCGTGGCTCAGGCCGCACATTGGACGCGTCTCGGACGAAAATCGGTGAGCGGGTTTTTAAGCGGTATGTGAGGCAAAATTTTTGCGATTAAAGCAAGCGGTATGCGGATTAATCGCTATGTGATGCCATCGTTATGCGGGGGTCCACTGTATATTTTTTTTTTTCAACAAGTCGGGCGTCTCCCACCGAGGCAGGGTGACCCAAAAAGAAAGAAAATCCCCAAAAAGAAAATACTTTCATCATCATTCAACAATCACCTAACTCATATATAATCACTCTTTGCAGAGGTGCCCAGATACAACAGTTTAGAAGCATATATAAAGATATATAACATATCCCTCCAAACTGCCAATATCCCAAACCCCTCCTTTAAAGTGCAGGCATTGTATTTCCCATTTCCAGTACTCAAGTCTAGCTATATAAAAATAACCGGTTTCCTTGAATCCCTTCACTAAATATTACCCTGCTCACACTCCAACAGCTCGTCAGGTCCCAAAAACCATTCGTCTCCAGTCACTCCTATCTAACCGTTTCCAACCAAAGCAAGATGACACAGTCACCATTATTCAATTCCAGTTGTCTTGTCAGAAAGAGCATAAACCTCAGTTCCAATAATAAGTACAGTAGCTTGAAATATATAGGCAAATGGCAACAATCTGAGAAGCCATTACAGCAATATGGCAAGCACACACTTATTTTACTTCTCCATTCTAAGTGAGATATATAACATTATGGAAATGCTTCCAAATTTGAAACCATCTGACAGAATTAGTCTTGACTGCAAAGCAGCACTAGTCACTAGTTAATATGACGTACTGCATATCGAAGTTTGTTTTGCGCTATGTCTTATGTTTTAAATTCTACAAATACTGACCTTGTACTGAAGCAAAGATCCAGCAAGACCTCGCATAGAAGCATTTTCTGTGTCTACGGTGTGTGTTGACCTCTCAGATATTGCTAAAGAGGCAGTTTCTCCACTAGCTGTTGATCTTGCACCATGGGCAATGTCTACATGAACTTCCAACCTAGATGAACATAAACTATAAGTAAAGGAAAATATATAATAAACTAGTTAGTTTTCGGGACACACGTAATTTATAGTAGACACCACTGTCATTGCTTAAGATACCCAGTACAGTACACACTTAAGTTGATAATGTTATGCATACTAAGTTGTGATATAGCCTCCTGAAAGGTTAATATTTTATTCAAGTTCCTGCATTCATTTCTAGTTGAATGTTACTTAAAAATTTGACTTTTATTCCATTCATGTTCAGTTAATAAATTACAACTCCAATGTCTTTGAATTTTTCTTTGTAAATATGAAATTATCAGTCCATAAGGGTAATAAACAACAAATAACTGTTACATCAGGTTAAAAGAATGGTGACAGATCACACTTTAAAAGAAATGAAGTAAATTTAAACTAAAGGGGAATGAAAAGATTCAGCTTTACAAAATTATCCATATCATAACTGGGTTGTACTATATACTTAATCATGGCTTTGAATATAAATTTAAAATTGAAGAGTGTAACAGTCTACTTAGTTCCAGTGGAGATGGAAAACTACTATAAATCATTAAAACCATCTGATAATAAAAAATTATCAAAACTAAGAAAAAAAGTGATTAATTTTTTTTTTTTTTTTTTTTTTTTTTTGGGGCTAAACCAGGGTTTAAACTATTGTGTGTAATTGGCCAACTCTGCATGGAAGTGTTGGTGAAGGATAGGTAAAGTTAGGTTAATCCATCTTAACCCCTTAACCATGGCATATCCAGAAATTAAAATTCCTGTGGGGGTAAGATTTTGAAAAATAAAATTGTTCTCCCTCTTACTCACTGAAAGAGTGCATTTTTATGAGTCATATAAAAGTAAAGGGAGCAGGATCTGATAAAAATCTCATGTTTTTGTGGCATGTTGGAAATGGCAAAAAACGATCACTCAAATCACAGAACGGGTAAGGTTCAAACCTATGACAGGCGAGTCCTACACTCACAGGCCAGTGTGCTTAACCATGATCCATGTCAGCCTAACAAGATTCATTCAACTAGGTATATTTCTATACTCACCTGCTATGGGTGCAGACCCCAACCATTTTTGTCTAATTGTGTTATCAAGATATCGTGAGTAACGGTCACTTGTTGGCAATGGCAGCATAAATGTGCCAGCAATATTTAAGTTTTACAATTTATTAAGTTACACAGTTTGGCTATTGTCTTTTTTTTTTTTTTCAACAAGTTGGCCGTCTCCCACCGAGGCAGGGTGACCCAAAAAAGAAAGAAAATCCCCAAAAAGAAAATGCTTTCATCATCATTCAACACTTTCACCACACTCACACATTATCACTGCCTTTGCAGAGGTGCTCAGAATACAACAGTTTAGAAGCATATATGTATAAAGATACACAACATATCCCTCCAAACTGCCAATATCCCAAACCCCTCCTTTAAAGTGCAGGCATTGTACTTCCCATTTCCAGGACTCAAGTCCGACTATATGAAAATAACCGGTTTTCCTGAATCCCTTCACTAAATATTACCCTGCTCACACTCCAACAGATCGTCAGGTCCCAAGTACCATTCGTCTCCACTCACTCCTATCTAACACGCTCACGCACGCTTGCTGGAAGTCCAAGCCCCTTGCCCACAAAACCTCCTTTACCCCCTCTCTCTAACCCTTTCAAGGACGACCCCTACCTCGTCTTCCTTCCCCTATAGATTTATATGATTTCCATGTCATTCTACTTTGATCCATTCTCTCTAAATGACCAAACCACCTCAACAACCCCTCTTCTGCCCTCTGAGTAATACTTTTATTAACTCCACACCTTTTCCTAATTTCCACACTCCGAATTTTCTGCATAATATTTACACCACACATTGCCCTTAGACAGGACATCACTGCCTCCAACCGTCTCCTCGCTGCTGCATTTACCACCCAAGCTTCACACCCATATAAGAGTGTTGGTACTACTATACTTTCATACATTCCCTTCTTTGCCTCCATAGATAACGTTTTTTGACTCCACATATACCTCAATGCACCACTCACCTCCTAGGTTAATTACAGTGGAACCTCAACTTACAGGTGTACCAACGTACGAGTTTTTTGAGTTACAAGCCGTCGGTCAGCCAATTTTTTGTTCTGAATAACGAGCCAAAATCCGAGTTATGAGCGAGCTTCAGTTACATCACCACTAGTTGGTGATGCAACATCCGCTCAGCAGTGTATATGTTTACCTCCCCGTGGAAGCATCTCTCTTTGTATTATGCTTGCGTTTTGTGCAATTGTTTTGCAAAATTTCTTTTTCTAACCTTGAGCACCAAACAAGTAAGTGCAAAGGACAGTACTGAGATGATGATGATGATGATGTCCATTAAATTAAAGCATGAAATCACATAAAAACATGAGCAAGGTGTGCGGGTAGTGGAGTGGAGTTGGCGAGGCAGTTCCAGCATAGTACTTCCACAATATGTACCATACTAAAGCAAAATGAACTCCTCTAGTGAAGTGAAAAAAATAAAAACAAATTGTAGCAATTAAGTTCAGCAATAAAGTGTAGCATTAAGAGAGTAGCAAGTAAATTAAATGATTAAGTGCTAGTAAAAGCATGAAACAAAACGAACTACTCCAATCTCCTTTGCCTTCTTTGCTGTTGTTGGGGTCAATAGGGCCACTGACAGCATATGCCGCTCTGCCTATCTTTTCCACCCTCCACCTCTGCCAGCATCTGTTCTCCAAGGCAAATGCTTACACTTTATAAAAGCAGTTTATTTCTTTAGTCTCTATTATGTTTTTGTACTATATTTCTTATTTATACAATGTTTCAGTGGTTTCATTATGAAACTAGTGATTTAGTGCAGTTAGCCTCACAAACACTGTTTTCTATTACAATAAGACGTCAGAAGGGGAAGCATGGGGAAGACATGGGCAAAGCATTAATTATTTTTACCTCGGGAGTGGTCGCCACCACTCGTCACAATGATATACAGGTGCCATCTGACTTACAACCGAGTTCGGTTCCGACAAACCGATCGTAAGTCGAAATGGACACAAGTCGAACCTTACTACTGAATATCAACATCACATTTTTGTAATGACTATTTTATTGTTTTATTTTGGCATTTCATTTTTTACTTTACTTTTTATGCTGTTAGTACTGTATTTTATACTGTAAGGTTTAGGATAAACACTGTGTACATCACAAACAGTTGTTTATTTCCCAGAAATTTGGCACAGAAAACATGGTCGTATGTCGAGCAGGTCGTAAGTCAGATGGTAGGTGTATTTTATTCAGTCTAGAGTATATATTGTGTTTCTTTGTTATTTATATTGTTTATGTCATATTTTATCAATTGTGTAGAGTTAATATTAGTGTTATACTGAAGTATTTTCTCCTGCCTCCCAAGAGCAGGAATTCCACTGGAACGGATTATTGGCATTTCAGTTAATTTCATTGAGGAAAATTGATTTGATATGCGAGCAAATTGAGTTGCGAGCTAGGTCACAGAACGGATTAAACTCATAAGTCAAGGTACCACTGTATTTATGTTAATTATTTTGGAGTGTGATCAGGGTAATATTTAGTGAAGGGATTCTGGGGAAACCAGTTATTTTTATATAGCCGGACTTGAGTACTGGAAATGGGAAGTACAATGCCTGCACTTTAAAGGAGGGGTTTGGGACACTGGCAGTTTGGAGGTATATGTTATATATCTTGATATATGCTTCTAAACTGTTGTATCTGGGTGCCCCTGCAAAGACAGTGATTATGTATGAGTAAGGTAAAAGTGTTGAATGATGAAAATATTTTCTTTTTGGGTCACCCTGCCTCAGTGGGAGACAGCCAACTTGTTGAAGAAAAAAAAAATTAGGTTATATATTTAGGGTCAAGGGAATATTCTGGCTTATATAAACAATGCAATTCCTGTGCCCATAACACCTGTGTGCCTTCCAGACCACTGTAAAATGTATATTTACAAGGTAATATGTTATAATTGTTTCAAGGTGTAATATTCATTGAAACATGGAAATAAATCACATCATTTGACCATATTGGGTTATCCTAGGTTCAATCTGCAGAAATATCTTGGTGGTTTTTACACAAACCCTGTTGGAGAAGCAATAAGCACGTTGAATCTGAGACATCCCAATACTGGTAACTGAGCAGAAGTATAGCACAAAAATAATTTACCATGACAAAACATGATCATACGGCCTAAAAGTACTTAAAGTTAAACAAAAGATCATAAAATGCATACCCCTGTAAAAAATCTAAGGAGCTTTGAACATTTGTTTTATATGTTGTCTGCCTATCTACTGTAAGTCAGAGCCAGATTAAGTGACAAACATGGCCAATATAACATCTCCACAAGCCCCAACTTTCCTGATTACCCCAGTGGTGGAGTATTAGCTTTGTATATCCTCTATCAGACATGAAGTCCTTCACCAAGCAAAACTTTGGCTGGCACGTTCAACACGCCTGCTAGCTTTTGCCTTTTATCCAACCAAATTACTAAATCAATCTCTCATCTCTATACTTTCTTACCTTAAAAATGATAACTAAGAGATTTTTGTTTAGCAAAACACTCAGTATCAGCACCTGTTTGTTCTTGATATACACGAGGAAGCTATGGAACCAGTAAGAGAAGCTGGGGCTATGGCTGTGTTGCTGGCACTCTCTCGGTCACTCTCGGCAAGCACATGGGCTGCAGAGTCGGCAGAAAGAGATGCACCGCATGATACCTCTCCAATACTGGCAGTTCCTGCACCAACATGACCAGATTCTGAAAGAAAGAATACTCTCATTTCTGGCCTTAAAACAAGACTCGAATAAGATCTATCTAGGAGTGTGCCAAAGTATTGGTAGTTTTTTTTTTTTTAATTAACATTTTTAATTCCCAGTAAAAGTAGGCCTTAGACAAGGATGTGTGATGTCACCGTGGTTGTTTAATATATTTATAGATGGGGTTGTAAGAGAAGTAAATGCAAGGGTCTTGGCAAGAGGAGTGGAGTTAAAAGATAAAGAATCACACAAAGTGGGAGTTGTCACAGTTGCTCTTTGCTGATGACACTGTGCTCTTGGGAGATTCTGAAGAGAAGTTGCAGAGGTTGGTGGATGAATTTGGTAGGGTATGCAAAAGAAGAAAATTAAAAGTGAATACAGGAAAGAGTAAGGTTATGAGGATAACAAAAAGATTAGGTGATGAAAGATTGGATATCAGATTGGAGGGAGAGAGTATGGAGGAGGTGAATGTATTCAGATATTTGGGAGTGGATGTGTCAGCGGATGGGTCTATGAAAGATGAAGTGAATCATAGAACTGATGAGGGGAAAAGGGTGAGCGGTGCACTTAGGAGTCTGTGGAGACAAAGAACTTTGTCCTTATATGGGTGTGAAGCATGGGTAATGAATGTTGCAGCAAGGAGAAGGCTGGAGGCAGTGGAGATGTCATGTCTGAGGGCAATGTGTGGTGTGAATATAATGCAGAGAATTCGTAGTTTGGAAGTTAGGAGGAGGTGCGGGATTACCAAAACTTGTCCAGAGGGCTGAGGAAGGGTTGTTGAGGTGGTTCGGACATGTAGAGAGAATGGAGCGAAACAGAATGACTTCAAGAGTGTATCAGTCTGTAGTGGAAGGAAGGCGGGGTAGGGGTCGGCCTAGGAAAGGTTGGAGGGAGGGGGTAAAGGAGGTTTTGTGTGCGAGGGGCTTGGACTTCCAGCAGGCATGTGTGAGCGTGTTTGATAGGAGTGAATGGAGACAAATGGTTTTTAATATTTGACGTGCTGTTGGAGTGTGAGCCAAGTAACATTTATGAAGGGATTCAGGGAAACCGGCAGGCCGGACTCGAGTTCTGGAGATGGGAAGTACAGTGCCTGCACTCTGAAGGAGGGGTGTTAATGTTGCAGTTTAAAAACTGTAGTGTAAAGCACCCTTCTGGCAAGACAGTGATGGAGTGAATGATGGTAAAAGTTTTCTTTTTCGGGCCACCCTGCCTTGATGGGAATCGGCCAGTGTGTTAATAAAAATAAATAATAATATCGGGAATCTCCCACCAAGGCAGGGTGGCCCAATAAAGAAAAGCTTTCATCATTCACTCCATCAGTGTCTTGCCAGAGGTGCAATTACACTACAGTTATAAAACTAACATTAACACCCCTCCTTCAGAGTGCAGACACTGTACTTCCCATCTCCAGGACTCGAGTCCGGCCTGCCGGTTTCCCTGAATCCCTTCATAAATGTTACTTTGCTCACACTCCAACAGTATGTCAAGTCCTAAAAACCATTTGTCTCCATTCGCTTCTATCTAACACGCTCACACATGCTTGCTGGAAGTCCAAGCCTCTAACACACACAAAACTTTCTTTACCCCCCCCCCCTACCTCCAACCTTTCCTAGGCCGACCCCCTACATCGCCTTCCCTCCATTACAGATTTATACACCCGAAGTCATTCTATTTTGTTCCATCCTCTCTACATGTCCAAACCACCTCAACAACTCCTCCTCAGCCCTCTGGATAATAGTTTTGGTAATCCCACACCTCCTCCTAATTTCCAAACTATGAATTCTAGCATTATATTCACACCACACATCGCTCTCAGACATGACTTCTCTACTGCCTCCAGTCTTCTCCCTGTTGCAACATTCACCACCCATGTTCCACACCCATATAAGAGCGCTGGTATAACCATACTCTCATACATTCCCCTCTTTGCTTCCATGAACAAAGTTCTTTGTCTCCACAGACTACTAAATGCGCCACTTGCCTTTTCTCCCTCATCAATTCTATGATTCACCTCATCTTTCATAGACCCATCTGCTGACACGTCCACTCCTAAATATCTGAATGCATTCACCTCCTCCATACTATCTCCCTCCAATATGATATCCAATCTTTCATTACTTAATTTTTTTATCCTCATCACCTTACTCTTTCCTATATTCATTTTTAATTTTCTTCTTTTACATACCCTACCAAACTCATCCACCAACCTTTGCAATGTCTCTTCAGAATCTCCCAAAAGTACAGTGTCATCAGTGAAGAGCAACTGTGACAACTCCCACTTTGTGTTAGATTCTTTATCTTTTAACCCTATGCCTCTTGCCAACACCTGAGCATTTACTTCTCTTACAACCCCATCTGTAAATATACTGAACAACCATTGTGACATCACACATCCTTGTCTAAGGACTACTTTTCCCAGTCCACTATTAATAAGTTGGAAATTCTAGCACCACTCTGGACTATTCTTAAAAAACTATCCAGTACATCATGTGGTATTGGAAATGAATGAAAAAACCTTGCAGTATAATGATAATCACTAACAAGCACATTAAAAATAAAAACATTTCAGAGTCTTCCAAGCTTTATTTTATGAAAAACTTGGGTCAAAAAAATGAAGGGCAAGTAAGTTACCTGACTGTCTTCCTGGGATGCCAAAAACCATGTCATTCTCATCATCAAAAGCTATTCTGACTCCCGAGGCTGAAGTAGTCACACCACATCCTCCAGAACGACATAAGGAAATGGGGACAACACCATACACATATGCCAATAAAATGGGCACGCCAATGCTCACTGCTAATCCCGCTAACACTGGTGATATCACAGCCTGTAAAACATATTCAACTTAATGGTTAACCCCTTAACCCTTTCAGGGATTCCAACGTACTAGTACGGCTTATGCACCAGAGTTATTGACGTACTAGAACGCCTAAATTCTAGCGCCTTCAAATCTAGCGAGAGAAAGCTGTTAGGCGTACATATGAAAGAATGGGTCTATGTGATCAGTGTGCACAGTATAAAAAAAATCCTGCAGCATAGAGTGCACAACGAGAAGAAAAAACTCCGACCGTGTTTTTGGTTTAAAACAGCGACTTGCAGTGTATTTTTGTATGGTATTCATGGTTGTATTCTAGTTTTCCTGGTCTCATTTTATAGAATGGAAGACACATTAGGGCCACTCTGCCTCGGTGGGATACGGCCGGTGTGTTGAAAGAAGAAAGACATATTACAGAAAATGAGATGATTTTGATTGGTTTCATAATGAAAAGTACCTTGAAACTGAGCACAAAGTAGCAGAAACGTTCGATTTTTACCAAATTTCAAAAGTAAACAAATCATGCCAATCGTCCAATACACGTCAACTGGTGAATCTAATAGTCTTTCTCAAGTGCACTATTATTATTTATACCATTTCTACACTAATGCAGTAGTCGGCATAACAGTAAATCTTCTATTTTTTGTGATAATAAAAATTCAAAGTGGAAAGCAAAAGAGATGTAAGACGGGCCTGGGGACGTGACTAATGAACAGAGAAAATGTTATTTTAGTGCCAGGAATGTCTGTTGCTTATTCCGGACCTTATTTGGAAATTGGCATCTTCTGAAATTTGTGTGAAATTGGCAAAATTGGCAATTTCTGACCACTTTATTGGATACTTGAAATCGGTAGATGGGTGGTTTCTTGTACTCATTCGATAGAAAAAATGGAGTTCTAGCGAAATTGATATGATTTTTGTCAACTAGTACACTGAAATTGGCCGAAAATACGGCTCAAAGTGGGCGAAATTGCCGATGCGTAAACATCGTCGAGACTAACTTCGTGAGAGCATAATTCCATAAGCTTTCCATCAAATTTCAAACTTTTGGTGTCATTATGATCGGGAAAAGATTCTCTATTATTTCCTAAGAATTTTTTTTTTCGGAAAAATTTTCGACCCTGAGAACGAGTTTAGGAAAGGGCAACTCGACTCAAAGGGTTCACCCGTTAACTATCCTAATGTAGATCTACATTCTTACTGCTAGCACTCCAAACGTAGATCTACGTTTTATTTTTCCTGCCTCCAAATTTGGCACGATTGGCCTAAGATGCCTAGTCAGCATAGAATGGGTCTTAACCCTCGGTGTGTACAGTATTAAAAAATCTTGAACCACTTAGTACCTTGTGGGAGCAGCAGTTCAACTCAGCACCAGCTAGAGCAAGCAGCACGGCAAACACCAAGGATTCACTGATGTCATGTCATATTAACACTTCCCTTTTAAGAGGGAAGTGTCATCCTGCCAAAATGTCCTATAACCTATGCCCTAAAAAAAAAGGAAACAATTCTGGAACTGTAATTTTGGCTGGCTGGCTGGCAGCTGACTGATTGGCTGTCTCTATCTCTGTCTCTGTCTATCTCTATCTCTGTCTGTCTGTCTCACAGGAACACATGCATAAATACAATTATACAGTGTAAATTGCCTAGGATAACCCAAAAAAATCCAAAGCGCTTGTCAGGGAAAAGTTCAATAGATAGGAGTAGCGATGGAGTATATAGTAACAATAGTTTCATTGTCGGCTACTTGTTAAGGTAGGGTAAGTCCAGCTCCCGCTATTCCCGCCTTTTCTCCCCCACCCCTAAAGTGATAGTTTGATTGCCGGCTGCTTGTTAAGGTAGGGTCAGTCTAGCTCCCACTATCCCTTCCCCTCCTTCTCCCCCCCCCCCCGAAAGGTGATGTGTGGGGCTCCGGTCCAAACAATAATCACTAGACTCACAGCTCCCAGCACTACTGTAAGTACATGCCTGCCTTGTATTCTAGTGGATTTATTGGTTGAAAGCTTCACTTTTGACCAATAATAAACTTAGTCCTTTCAGTCTTGCTCTAAGTTGACTGTTGTAATAGTCACCACATCTTTTAGGTATTGTACTTATCATGGAGAGTGATTTCTTAAGCAGTGGGTAACCTGTCTATCTTTCCAGCTTGGATGACAGAGAGGGTCACCTGCCAATCAACGAGTAGAATTGATGGAGATGGACTAACGTCCTGAGACTTCCCCTTTTTGGATTTAATTACCTGTGCACCTGTATGAAATTGCAGGACGTAATCCCTCATCATTGCAGCGGTAAAGAACCTGCTTTCCTGTCATCGGGATAGAATACTCATGGCTATACTGTGAAGAACGAACCGGTGGGTTGTAACCAACACCTGCGACCCCCCTCCCCATCATCAGCAACTGCTACGATTTCAACAACACGCAGTGTCACCAACACCAGACACCCCTATATATATTAGCGTTGAGTTCAAATGTTATTTTATTCATTTCATTTTTCATTTTTCTTTCAAATAGGATATACCTTTCATGTTTTATTGTTTTATGTTTGCTTTAATAAATAATAAAGTGTTTATCTTTGTGAATTATTATTTCTTTTTCTATTCATTAATTTTCCTGAGGAGGAGCCAGCCTTGGTAATACTGTCTGAAGTTGTTACAGGGCTGAGTAAGCCTTCACAGCGCTATACTGTGCTTGTAGATAGTGATCGTGTGTAATACCAGTTGGTTCATAAGCAACTCTCTGAGGCAGTAGAGACAAGCAGACAAACACACAGGCAGACAGAAAGACAGACAGATATGTTTATGTGTAGCAGTGAAAACAAGCTAAGGCTCATCAAATGTCACCACTGTCATTAGTGGAGTGATAAGATAAAACAAGTGACACACTTACATGCTTCAAGGGAACTTATTATTAATATTATTATATACTCCCGTGTATCCAAAACATTGCTGGGACCTATAAATACTATGTATATACTTCTAGACAATAATATGTGACTAAGGTAGGTGAAAATGTTCACCTGTCACTGTGTTTGTGACTATTTGAGTACTATTTCAGTACCTAATATTAGTGTCAGAACAAAGATTGGCTATCAAATCACAAGAACTACTATAAATAGTAATTATCCAAACATAAAAATTATGTATCTCCATGGGGAAGTGGAACAAAATTCTTCCTCTACAAGCCATGCGTGTCATAAGAGGCGACTAAAATGCCGGGAGCAAGGGGCTAGTAACCCCTTCTCCTGTATATATTACTAAATGTAAAAGGAGAAACTTTCCTTTTTCCTTTTGGGCCACCCCGCCTCGGTGGGATACAGCCGGTGTGTTGAAAGAAAAATTATATATAAAAAACGAGGAAAAAAGGTACATCGGCAACACTTCTGCAAGCAGCAGGACTCGATGTTGCCGTCAGATGAGCATCAAGGGCCAACTTCGCGTGCTCATATCTCGGTAAGTATTGATCCTAAATTTTTTTTATCCTATGACATGTAGAAAAATGCGCTCTATCTCTATAAAAAAATTTTTTTTTCAAAACATTTAGAGCGCTGGGCGAGAGAATGTAGATCTACATTTGGACAGTTAATGGGTTAAGTGTCAGTCCTGTAGTACTGCAGCTTTGAAGCCAGGGTCAGTCCCGTAGTTCACTGCCATGAGCTCAGCTCACTCAGTTAAGCTGTGAGCAGTAAATCAGGGCCTAGAGATAAGAGAATGGGTCTATGTAGTTACTGTGTACTATATAAAAAAAAATCCTTCAGCAAGCAGTGCACAATGGGAAAACACTGCAACCATGTTTTTGGTTTCAAACAGTGACTTTGCAGTGTATTTTTGCATGGGTATATGATTCTTGGTCTCATTTGATAGAATGGAAGATATATTACAGAAGTAGAGGCAATCTTGATTGGTTTCAGGACTGAAAGAAGCTCGAGACTGAGCTCAAAGTAGCAGAAACCGTCAATTTTTGCCGATATTTCAGGGTATACAATGACGTCACTCATCCAAAACATGACCATCTGTCCAGTCTAGTACGGTTTTAGGAATGCACTGACATTATTTATACAATTACAATAATAAACTAGTTTGCAAACCAGTAAATTTTCTATTTTTGCATGAATAAAAATTATAACTGGAATTAATGTGTAATATTGGAGAGGCCTGGGAACATAAGTAATGAAGAGAGGAAATGTTATTTTAGTGCCAGGAATGCCTGCATAGTTTATTCTGGACCCTATTTTGAAGTTGGCATTTCTCAAGTTTTGTGTGAAACTGACCACATTAATTTCTGATGAATTTGTATAGTTGAAATAGTTGAATGGGCAGTTTCTTGTACTCAATCAATAGAATGAAAGGCATACAAGTGAAATAGCTAAGAATCTGGTCAGCTGGAATAATGCAATTGGCCTAAAATCAGGCTCAAAGTGGGGGAAAATCGTCAATGCGTAAACATAACTGACAAAAATTTCACATCAAATTTTGTACTTTTTGTATTTTTTTTTTTCAACAAGTCGGCCGTCTCCCACCGAGGCAGGGTGACCCAAGAAAGAAAATCCCCAAAAAGAAAATACTTTCATCATCATTCAACACTTTCACCTCACTCACACATAATCACTGTTTTTGCAGAGGTGCCCAGAATACAACAGTTTAGAAGTATATATGTACGTATAAAAATACATAATATATCCCTCCAAACTGCCAATATCCCAAACCCCTCCTTTAAAGTGCAGGCATTGTACTTCCCATTTCCAGGATTCAAGTCCGACTATATGAAAATAACCGGTTTCCCTGAATCCCTTCACTAAATATTACCCTGCTCACACTCCAACAGCTCGTCAGGTTCCAAATACCATTTGTTTCCATTCACTCCTTTCTAACACTCACGTACGCTTGCTGGAAGTCCAAACCCCTCGCCCACAACACCTCCTTTACCCCCTCCCTCCAACCTTTTCGAGGACGACCCCTACCCAGCCTTCCTCCCCCTACAGATTTATACGCTCTTCATGTCATTCTACTTTGATCCATTCTCTCTAAATGACCAAACCACCTTAACAAGCCCTCTTCAGCCCTCTGACTAATACTTTTATTAACTCCACACCTTCTAATTTCTACACTCCGAATTTTCTGCATACCTACACCACACACTGCCCTTAGACAGGACATCTCCACTGCCTCCAACCACCACCTCGCTGCAGCATTTACAACCCAAGCTTCACATCCATCTAAGAGTGTTGGTACTACTATACTTTCATACATTCCCTTCTTTGCCTCCATAGATAACATTTTTTGCCTCCAGATATATCTCAATACACCACTCACCTTTTTTCATCTTCAGAAAAAGATTCTCTACCATTTCATAAGAAAAAATAACTTTTTTTTTTTTTTTTTAAATTTTCCAACTGAGAGCAAGTTCAAGAGCAGGGGTTTCGACCCTCAAAGGGTTAACCCTTTGACTGTTTCGGCCGTATATACGTATATGTCTTATAAGGTACCGTGTTTGACGTATATATACTCATAAATTCTTGCCTTGGTGGGATACGGCCGGTTTGTTGAAAAAAAAAAAAAAATTCTAGTGGCTTCAAATCAAGCAGGAGAAAGCTGGTAGACCCACATGTGAGAGAATGGGTCTGTGGGGTCAGTGTGCACCATATAAAAAAAATCCTGGAGCACGCAATGCATAATGAGAAAAAAAAAACTCCGACCATTTTTTTTAATTAAATTGCCGAATTTGTGGTCTATTTTCGTATAGTATTTATGGTTGTATTCTCATTTTCTTGGTCTCAATTGATAGAATGGAAAACATATTATAGAAATAGAGATGATTTTGATTGGTTTTACTATAAAAAGAACCTTGAAATGGAGCTCAAAGTAGGGGAAATGTTTGATTTTTACTGATGTTCAAAAGTAAACAAATGATGTCATTGTCCAATAAATGTCCAAGTAGCCATTCTAATATGCAGTCATGAATGGGTTGACATTATTTGTACAATTATTACAATATTGCAGTAGTCTGCATAACAGAAAATCTTCTATTTTTTGTTTGAATAAAAATTCAAAATAGAAAGCAAGAGTAATGTAAGAGGGGCCTGGAGACATGACTGACGAACAAAGAAAATGTTATTTTAGAGCCAGGAATGTCTGCATTGTTCATTCTGGACCTTATTTTGAAATTGTCATATTTTATAATTTTCGTGAAATTGGCCAAATTGCAATTTTCTGGCCACGTTATTGGGTAGTTGAAATCGGTAAATGGGCAGTTTCTTGTACTCAATCGCTAGAAAAACTGGAGCTCTAAAGAAATAGCTATGAGTTTCGTCGACTGGAACAATGGAATTAGACGAAAATAGGGCTCAAATTGGGTGAAATCGCCGATTTGTAAATATCACAGAGGTCACTAACTTCGCGAGAGCGTAACTCCGTCAGTTTTCCATCAAATTTCATGTTTTGGGGCGTCATTACAATCGAGAAAAGATTCTCTATCATTTCATAATCTTTTTTTTTTTTTTGAAATTTTGCGACACCAGGAGACACCTCAGGATTGGGGGTTGCAACAGTCAAAGGGTTAAGCAACAGAAAGAAAAGGTAAAGGAATACACAAAATTAGAAAAAAAAAAATGAAACTATATTAAGTACATTGGATGGACGCAATTCATAATGGAATCGCTGATTCTGTTCTTTTAATACAATAACTGGAGCACTACTTGGTTTGCAAATACATTATGTACACCGTTCTTTTAAGGAGGGCAAAATTTTTCTTAATTGCAAGTTACTGCCTAATGGTTTGCTTGTTTCTATTGTATCTCCTAGATTGTTCAATAGACTGCCAGTGTCTTGTTAAGTCAGGAATCTTATGCTTTCAAGTCTCAGCTGAAAGCACACCACTTTTCTAGAACATATGATTCTGATCATTATAGAGTTTGCTCTAGAATATAAACTTCAGTAATGATTTATGGCTTGGTGTGCAATTGCTTCTGAATTTCTTGAAAGAATAGGCACTCAAAAATAACAAAATCCCAATTATTAAATTATCATCATTATCAATGTGAAGAATTGTTTAAGCATTCCATGAAAGAGCATATTGCAAGTGCAATATTCAAGGGAGACTATACAAACCCATCCCTGCTAGGACAAAAAAAATCAGTGAAACAAATAGTATGAAAGAAAATTATAGAATCAACAAGCAGCCTTATGCAATATTGCTGTCCACTGTCAATGCTATGCAATAAAAGGCATATATACAAATGGTGAAGAATAAAACTCACAAAACTTTGGCTAGAATGATTAAAAAATAACCATAAGTTAGAAACTTGAAACAATTTTTTTTGTTCAACCCGGACCAATATGCTGTGATTGCTTTCTAGAAGGACAGTATTTCACTTGATTCATAGGAATGCACAACTTAATAAAACCAAAAGCAATGCTTACTGAAGCTGTAACTCCACCCACTACAGCCAAATTGCGACGGTGAGGGTTGGCCATGGAGTACCGTGCATGGAGTTTACGGCCAACCCAAATGGGAATGCCTGTGGAGAGAACAGCCTTCTTAATTACATAAAAGAAATGTTAAATTAAAGGATGATATTGCAATTAAATGAATTTCTGATATTCTCAAAATTGGTAGTAGATATAGAAAAAAAAAAAAAAAAAAAAAAAAAAAAGTCAACACTTTCACCTCACTCATACATAATCGCTGTTTTTGCAGAGACGCCCAGATACAACAGTTTAGAAGCACATATAAAGATATATAACATATCACTCCAAACTGCCAATATCCCAAACCCCTCCTTTAAAGTGAAGGCACTGTATTTCCCATTTCCAGTACTCAAGTCCGGCTATATAAAAATAACTGGTTTCCCTGAATCCCTTCACTAAATATTACCCTGCTCACACTCCAACAGCTCGTCAGGTCCCAAATACCATTCGTCTCCATTCAATCCTCTCTAACACGCTTAGGCATGCTTGCTGGAAGTTCAAGCCCCTCGCCCACGAAGCCTCCTTCACCCCCTCCCTCCAACGTCTTCGAGGACAACCCCTACCCCGCCGTCCTTCCCCTACAGATTTATATGCTCTCCATGTTGTTCTACTTTGATCCATTCTCTCTAAATGACAAAACCACCTCAACAACCCCTCTTCAGCCCTCTGACTAATACTTTTATTAACTCCACACCTTGTCCTAATTTCCACACTCCAAATTTTCTGCATAATATTTACACCACACATTGCCCTTAGACAGGACATCTCCACTGCCTCCAACCACCTCCTCACTGTAGTATTTACAACCCAAGCTTCACACCCATATATGAGAGTTGATACCACTATACTTTCATACATTCTCTTCTTTGCCTCTATAGATAATGTTTTTTGTCTCCACATATACCTAAATGAACCACTCACCTTTTTTTCCTTCATCAATTCTATGGTTAACCTCATCCTTTACAAACCCACCAGCTGACACGTCAACTCCCAAATAGTATCTGAAAACATTCACTTTTTCCATACTCCCTCTCCCCAATGTGATATTCAATTTTAATCTATATCATCTGATACCCTCTTCACCTTACTCTTATCTATGTTCACTTTCAACTTTCTACCTTTACACACACACACTCCCAAACTCGTCCACTTACCTTTGCAACTTTTCTTTAGAATCTCCCATAAGCACAGTAGTATCAGTAAAAAGTAACTGTGTCAACTCCCATTTTGCATCTGATTCCCCACAATTTAATCCCACCCCTCTCCCCAGCACCCTAGCATTTACTTCTTTTACAACCCCATCTATAAATATATTAAACAACCATGGTGACATTACACATCCCCGTCCAAGACCTACTTTTACTGGGAAGTAGTCTCCCTCTCTTCTACACACCCTAACCTGAGCCTCACTATCCTCATAAAAACTCTCTACAGCATTTAGTAACTTACTACCTATTCCATATACCTGCAACATCTGCTACATTGCTCCCCTACCCACTCCATCATATGCCTTTTCTAAATCCATAAATGCAATGAAAACTTCTCTACCTTTATCTAAATACTGTTCACATATACACTTCAATGTAAACACTTGATCTACACATCCTCTACCTGCTCTGAACCCTCCTTGCTCATCCAAAATCCTACTCTCTGTCTTGCCTCTTATTCTTTCAATAATAACCCTACTGTACACTTTTCCTTGTATACTCAGTAAACTTATTCCCCTATAATTTTTATAATCTCTCTTGTCCCCCCTTCCCTTTGTATAAGGGAACTATACAAACTCTCTGCCAATCCCTAGGTACCTCCCCCTCTTTCATACATTTATTAAACAAAAATACCAATCACTCCAACACTATATCCCCCTCTGTTTTTAACATTTCTGTCTTGACCCTGTCAGATCCAGCTGCTTTATCCCCTCTCATTCTACTTAATGCCTCACACACCTCCCCCACACTCACATCCTGCTCTTCTTCACTCCTAATAGATGTTACACTTCAATGACCAGTGCATGATATTACCACCTCCCCTACTCTGTTTTTAACTGACAAATCCATTCCTCATAAGCTATCTTTTTCTCTTTTATCACACCCTTTACTTCTTCATTCCACCAATCACTCCTCTTTCCTCTGGCACCCACCCTCCTATAGCCACAAACTTCTGCCCCACATTCTAATAATGGATTTTTAAAACTATTCCAACCCTCTTCAACCCCCCCACTACCAATACTTCCACTAGCCCACCTTTCTGCCAATAGTTGCTTATATCTCACCCTAACTTCGTCCTCCTTCCTTTAGTTTATATATTTTCACCTCTTACTTCTTGTTGCCATTTTCCTTTTGTCCCATCTACCTCTTACTCTAAGTGTAGCTAACTAAATAATGATCCGATATATGACCCTCTATAAACATGTACATCCTGAAGCCTACCCATCAACCTTTTATCCACCAATACATAATCTAACAAACTACTTTCATTATGTGCTATATCATACCTTGTATACTTATTTTTCTTCTTTTTCATAAAATATGTATTACTTATTACCAAACCTCTTTCTACACATAGCTCAATCAAAGGCTCCCCATTTTCATTTACCCCTGGCACCCCAAATTTACCTACTACTCCCTCCACAACATTTTAGCACTGAAATCCCCGACCACAAGTACTCTCACACTTGGTTCAAAACTCCCCATGCACTCGCTCAACATTTCCCAAAATCTCTCTCTCTCTCCTCTACACTTCTCTCTTCTCCAGGTGCATAAACGCTTACTATAACCCACTTTTCACATCCAACCCTTATTTTACTCCACATAATCCTTGAATTAATACATGTATATTCCATCTTTTCCTGCCATAACTTATCATTCAACATTATTGCTACTCCTCCTGTAGCTTTAACTATTTGAAACCCCTGACCTAATCCCATTTATTTCTCCACACTGAAACTCTCCCACTCCCTTCAGCTTTGTTTCACTTAAAGCCAGGACATCCAGCTTCTTCTCATTCATAATATCAACAATGATCTTTTTCTTACCATTTGCACAACATCCACTCACATTCAAACATCTCACTTTGATGGTTTTCTTTTTCTTTTTAGTAGGCTATACAGGAAAAGGGGTTACTAGCCCATTGTTCCCGGCATTTTAGTCGACTCTTACAACACGCATGGTTTACAGGGAAAGATTCTTATTCCACTTCCCCATGGATATAAAAGGAAAAGCAATAAGAACAAGAACTATTAAGATAAAATCAAGGAAAACTCAGATGAGTGTGTATACATAAATGTGTACATGTATGTGCAGTGTGACCTATGTGTAAGTAGAAGTAGCAAGATGTACCTGAAATCTTGCATGTTTATGAGACAGAAAAGACACCAGCAATTCTACCATCATGTAAAAGAATTACAGGTTTTTGCTTTACACTCACTTGGCAGGATGGTAGTACCTCCCTGGATGGTTGCTGTCTAACCTACATTCATACATACATTATATATATTTTTAACACATTGGCCATTTCCCACTGAGGCAGGGTGACCCAAAAAGAAAGAAAAATAATACTTTCATCATCATTCAACACTTTCACCATCACTCATACATAATCACTGTCTTTGCAGAGGCGCTCAGATACGATAGTTTAGAAGTCCCTCTAAACTGCCAATATCCCAAACCCCTCCTTTAAAGTGCAGGCATTGCATGTCCCATTTCCAGGACTCAAGTTCTGCTAATCGGTTTCCCTGAACCCTTTCACAAAATATTACCCTGCTCACACTCCAACAGCTCATCAGGTCCCAAAAACCTTCGTCTCCATTCAGTCCTATCTAACACATTCACACATGCCTGCTGCCTGCCCAGGCCCTTTCAACACAAAACCTCTAACCCCCACCCTCCATCCTTTCCTAGGATAACCTCTACCCCTCCTCCCCTCTACTACACCACATCAGCTCTCTCCCACCAAGACTGAGTGATTCAAAAAAGAAAACATTTCTCGAGTCACTCTGCCAACACTAGCAATGAATTACATTTAAATTTTTCTGTTAAGGACTATCACAATCCTGCAATTATTTGTCATCTTTCCTGTATGCATTGTTAATTCAAAGTGCATCCAAATGGAGTGCAGAACATTAAAAAGCAAAATAAAAAGTCAATACCAACACTGGAACAATTCAGTATTAACCCACAATTTAGAAAGGAAACTTTAGATGTTTCATTGGTTTATAAATAATGCAGAGTAATACAATATATAGTTTGATTCCGTATTCCCATATTTGAGTTGGTACTGTAAATTGGGAACCGGTCTATTTTTATTGTTACCTAAAAAGATTTACATACTCCTCAATTTACCTAGTAAACTGGCACGAAGGCTGAAGAAAGCAAAAGCAAGGCAGAAAAGAATGCAAAGTTGCCAATCACAAGAAAAGTGTTAAACAGTTCAACACACACCACTCCATTATATTCTCACTTACTATCCTCAATACTGATTCAGAATAGTTCTAGAAAAGATGCCAAAACACAGGCAAACTTGCTTGCTCAGTTGTGCAGTGGACAAAAAAATATGGAAAAACGTATATCAACTATTATCGAAATGCTACATATTCCTAATATCCTAATGCTATCTCATAGGCCATTCTTGAATGTTAAAAAAGAAAAAGATAGAGTGATAGTTTGATGTATTGGCTATGGAGTGGAAATATATTGCGAGGAAATTTAGCAAAGATTTTAAAGAGAATGCACTGATGCAATCTACACCGAGATTACAACCATATGTATATACCTCAAATAGCTTGTCCATCACCAACTGCCTGTGACTATGTGATCACTAATTCTTAAACCATTTTATACTGTATCTCTTAAACTTTTAAATGCATTAGTACATATAATCATCTAGTTTGTAAAAATCTTACTAACCGATAATCATGGCAGGGACAGCCAGACCTGCCACTAGCCCTATGCCAAGAGGAGCACCAACAAGGGTGCCCAACTGCCACAGGATCTTCTTCTTCCTGGACCATGGTTTTTTTCCCCAAAACGTACATCCTGATGGGCTATTAGATGAACATAAAATATAACAATACACTGTAAATACAATGTTAATCTGGAAAAGCAAAATTAAATATTTCTCAGATTAAAAATTGCATCTTATAATAGGAATAATAAAAAGAGTGTCCTATGTGGAAATGTGTGCACTTGAAAGCATATGCAATTGTGTAACAGTACGTATTTGTAGATACCGTTACATCTATAAATTCACATACACACGTGCACGCGCATGCGATTATCTGCAACTTAAACATGTGACTACCTATCTATGAGTACCCATTTATAGATAAAGCTGCAGAGCTATGCTGGTAGTGTCCAGTCTTCAATACATAATATGCTATATTCTTTTCTTGAATCCCATTCCACTATTCTACCAGAATGTGAAAAAAAAAAAATTCTAATGATCCTTTTGACTACTCATTTTATAATTATGGCCTTTGGTGTTCTTATATTTAAAAAGAAAGTTAAACCTGTGCAAGTCATGCTTCACTGTATGGACTATTTTTACTGGTATGAACAACTTTTGTTTTAAAATTTCATCCTTGTAATGTATGTGAAAGTCATTTTTTAGTCTGCCAGTGTAGTATACAAGCTTCAATTGAAATTTATTTGATCTAATGTTTTTTTTTTTATATAAATACTTATGAATCCCTTTGTCTGATCTTTAAATATTTATCACTATATTTGCCAAGTCACTTCTCTACATTGAAAGCCATCATTCAACTGTCGCTCAATTCCCTCAATTTTTTTTTTTTTTAACACATCAGCCATTTCCCACTGAGGCAGTTATCCTCCAAAAAATCTCATCTCCTAATATTTGTCTGTCAATCTTCATCCATTTGTAGTTTCCAGATTAATCTTTCTTAGGATATGATCAAAAGCTTTTCTGAAATCTGAATGCAATCTGCAATCTAATTTTCTTTAATCTCTGATAATCATAACTGTAACAAATATGATGTATGGTACAAGATATTCTCGCTAAGAAACCAAACGACAATAGCAGGTTTGTTCTCAAATGGCTTTTTTAAGTACATTATTTTTACAATACTCACCACAATCTATATTCTTTATTTGGCCTGTGTTTCTTTATCCCATTTCCACTGAATGGTACTTACCTACATTATATTCTATCATCCATCACTACCTTTCCTCAATTTATTGAAGACTTCTTGTAGGGTTTGTCACTTTTATTACTTATTTTACATAGAATTATCCATAATTACCCATTCGTAGCTATGCTCATGGAATCCCATGTGTGTGTGTTTACAATTTCAAAAACCAGCTAATTACCAGTCTTTTAAAACTGTGGGTGGTTGTACTGCTTACTATGTACCATCTCTTGGATCCCTTTGATTGCTCTACCATAGATTCAGAAGCAGAACTATGCTCATGGTGTCCTATCATCACTGTTTAATATGCCAGTATAGCATAGAAACATTTCTCAATTTTACTTATTTGATCTTTGTGACAATATTTTGCCCATAATTTGTAGATTCCTTTCTGGCTGAAGCTTTATCACAATCTACATTCATGTGAAAAATGAAAAGGCACAATATCGTGGCTCGAATAATACACAAATAACCTGCACACTGGAGTGTAAAACTCATGACATTTTGACTGACTACATATCTGAAGCCCATAAAGAACACATAAGACACCCAAGTAAACCCTTTCAGGGTTTCGGCCATACTAGTACGGCTTACGAGCCAGGGTTTTTGACGTATGTACTAGTACGCCTAAATTCTAGCGCCCTCAAATCTAGCGAGAGAAAGCTGGTAGGCCTACATATGAAAGAATGGGTCTATGTGGTCAGTGTGCATGGCATAAAAAAAATCCTGCAACACACAGTGTGTAATGAGAAAAAAAAACGTTGACCACGTTTTTGGATTAAAACAGCGACTTTGCACTGCATTTTCGTATGGTATTTATTGTTGTATTCTAGTTTTCCTGGTCTCATTTTATAGAGTGGATGACATATTACAGAAGTTGACATGATTTTGACTGGTTTTACAAAGAAAAATATCTTGAAATTGAGCTCAAATTAGCAGAAATGTTCGATTTTTACCAAAGTTCAAAAGTAAACAAATCATGCTGTGTGTCCAATACACGTCAACTGGTGAGACTAATATTCTTTCACAAGTGCACTGATATTATTTATACCATTTCTGCACCAATGCAGTAGTCTGCATAACAGTAAATCTATTTTTTGTGAGAATAAAAATTCAAAGTGGAAAGCAAAAGAATGTAAGAGGGGCATGGAGACATGACTAATGAACAGAGGAAATGTTATTTTAGTGCCAGGAATGTCTTTGTTTATTCTGGACCCTATTCGGAAATTGGCATCTTTTGAAATTTGAGTGAAATTGGCAAAATTGCTAAATTCTGACCACTGTATTGGATAGTTGAAATCGGTAAATGGGTGGTTTCTTGTACTCATTCGATAGAAAAAAATGGAGTTCTAGCGAAATAGTTATGATTTTTGTCGACAAGTACACCGAATTGGCCGAAAATAGGGCTCAAAGTGGGCAAAAATCGCCGATGCGTAAACATCGTCGAGACCGCTAACTTCGCGAGAGCATAATTCCCTAAGTTTTCCATCAAATTTCATACTTTTAGTGTCATTATGATCGGGAAAAGATTCTCTATCTTTTCATAAGAAAATTTTTTTTTTTTTAAATTTGGCCGACCCTGAGAACAAGTCTCTGAGTGGGCCTGTCGACCCTGAAAGGGTTAAAATTCACCTGTGTATCAATGATTAGGGTACTCTTTCCCCTAAAATAAGGACCAAAGTAAACTCTCAACTTATATACACAGATATATGAACACATCCGCTGTTCTGTAATGGTTCTATTCTATTGTCTTACCGTTTTGTTAGTGAAACAAAACAAAGCTGGACGCACCTTCCCTCTTGCCTTTTTTTTTTTTTTTTTTTTTTTAATATGAACACAATGTGAACCTTTTTCCATTGTTCACTTTGCCTTCTATTGAAATCCCTCTAAAAATTTCAGAGTAGATAGCTTGGATCATCTTCACATTCTTTTAACTTGTACAGTGCTACTGAATCTTGTGTTACTGCTTCTCTCAACATAAAGTAGCAACCTCTCTCTTTTTTCCTTAAACATTTCAACGTCATCCACTTCAGCTAGCGCTTAGGAGTTCCACTAGTGTCCTCGATAAACACACACACACACACACACACACACACACACACAGGAACTTCATATTTAATATCTCACACAGTGCCTCCTCTACTGTATTTAGTCATCATTCTAGATTCTTTGTATTTTGTCTCACTTGTGGGTAACTTTTACAAATTTCAGTAAATTATATGGTTTAGTTTTGCTTGTGCATGTATTTGTGGTGTTCATAACTGCACACTTTAATAACCAATGGATCAATCACTAGTCTGTTAAAAAAAATATCCTTAGAAGAAAGATTACTAAGAAACATCACATAAAAATGATACACTTTGGCCAAAATATTTTTTTCCTAGGTAAACTGTAATAATGTACATCCTAAGAAAGTATTAAACCTCACTTCCATGTGGTCACAACACAATAAATCTACTTTATTTTAGCTTTAGTGCAAATAAATAAATCTTTAAAATTAATATAATGGGTACACCATGACTGAGATAGGAGACCTTCAAGTCTCTGTAGCCAAAGATGAGGCTATGATCCTGTGGTCAACCTGTAATGTAAGAAAATTATGCAACAATGACAAACCTGAGATAATGCAGGTCAGAGATTTCCTTCATACACAGCCAACAGAATTCTGCCCCACATACACTACAGGTCATGTGATTGCAGGAGCCATCATCCATCTTCACAATCAATACTTGACACCTTGGGCAGGCTTTGACA